CAGTTGATATATCATGTATATTTTGGCTGATGTAAGATGTCGTCCAATTGCAGTTTGTAGTTTTAAATGAATCATGGTTTTTAAAAACTATGAAAAACATTATTTTTAGTTTAACTTGCGTTTTCATTGGTTCTTATAATTTTTATAATCCAATTTGTTGCTATTGCATTATTGGATTGTTTTTCAGACTAGGAGTGTTACCTTCTTTTTATGTAATTGAACAGGGAACTCTTAAAAACGGGAACATTGTTGCAGTGAAGAAACTAGACTACGTCTCCAGTAGAGCAAAGGCAGATTTTGAGACCGAAGTAAAGCTTATAAGTAATGTTCATCACCGGAATCTCATTCGTCTTCTAGGATGTAGTAACAAAGGACCAGACCTGCTTCTTGTTTATGAGTACATGGCAAATGGAAGCCTTGATAAATTCTTATACGGTAAGTTTGCCTCTTCTTTCTTGTCATAAAATGTTTAGATTTTTTGTTTTGGAAAGTGAAAATGTTTATATTTATTTTATAACTTGTTAGCTTTCGCGAGAAAGTTTGTGACAGAAAGAAGTCCATTCATTTACTTTTTTTTTTTTTCCCCCTTTTTTCTTGGGGATAGATCTGTAGCGGAACTATGAGTACAAGTAAGAAGCTTGAAAATAGAGTTCTTATGCAAAAAATTTAAGACAACTGTAGGAGCTTAGATTACACATGTTCCTAATGGAAGCAGACCATAGCCAGGCAGGTAGGAGGAGTTTCGAGATTATGTTTTACGCCCTTTTGGAGTATGGTGAAACTTCAATTCCATGAACAGGAGCAAAGATTGTCTGAAAAAATGACATATCCAAAAAGAGCTATATAGTGGATCAATCACTATCTTATTAAGAATTAAGAAATGTTGCAGTGGATTTATTTGGCAGAACTTTCATTACACAATCTAAATTTGAAGTAATTTACAGAATCAATACATTTGGTAATGCCTTCTAAGTAATTATTGCTCCTACTGGGGCTTTATGCTTATTGGAGAAATATTAACATTAGTGCCATCCCATGGCCAGTGAAGACATTTGATTTTTATCTGTTAAAAAGGGACAATGCATTTGAGAAGCAGTAGAAAAAGAAAAAGAAAAAGGGACACACACACACACACCCACAGAGCATCATATACATGTTTGTTCATTTCCATCAAAACTAAATATGTTTTTTATTTTACCTTCTATTTTATGTAAAATAATTTTTCATGTTGGGCAGGTGAAAGGCGGGGAACTCTAAACTGGAAGCAACGGTTTGATGTAATCTTTGGAATGGCTAGGGGTCTTGCTTATCTACATGAGCAGTTCCATGTATGTATTATACATCGAGATATAAAATCCAGCAATATTCTGCTGGATGATAATTTCCAGCCCAAAATTGCTGATTTTGGGTTGGTAAGACTTCTACCTGCGGATAAGAGTCATGTCAGCACCAGATTTGCTGGAACCTTGTAAGTTAGAGTAAATGCAATCACTTAATTGCTTGGATAACCTCGATCTTTGTTTTAGTATTCATAATAAATTTAGTACTCAAAAATTTATCAGATCAGATTATGTTATGAATTTGATTGTTAAAAATTGGTCAGTGGCAGAGCAATGCATCTGCTGGAGTAGTTTCCATAAATTCACCATTGAAAGAAAATTCAGAATATAAGTTTTGTTTATCAAAAAAAAAAAAAAAAATTCCTTGCTATGACCTCTCTTTTGATGCCAAGTGCAAAAACCCTGGGCATTTATGAATTTCAAACTGCTTTGGAATCAATACTTGCTTCTTTTCTGGTGCAGCATTTATATTCTGTTTATTTGCGTCCAAACAATATTAGTTTCCAGCAAGTGGAAACAAATTTTGATATCAAATTCATGACATCTTACAGGAGACAGTTAAAAATAAATCCTCTGAGACCTCAGTTCAAAGAATTTGTAGCATTTTGATGATTTGAACCATCTGCCTTTGATTGCTCGGGAACCTCTTAGTTTTTTCAGTGAAAATGGATTTACTAGAGGATATTTGGGTGCCTAATATAATTGAATCAGTCCATTGTGTTTAATTTATAACATGCATTAAATTATCATACCTTCAAAAGTATAATTGCAAGCCGTTCACAATTTCTGATTCTCATGCATCAGGGGTTACACAGCACCGGAGTATGCCATCCACGGGCAGTTGCTGAGAAGGTTGATACCTACAGCTTTGGTGTTGTGGTCCTGGAAATCATAAGTGGCCAAAAGAGCAATGAAATGAAGGTCGAGGAAGAAACTGAATACCTCCTTGAAAAGGTAACTTATCGTAACCATAAACTCGAGCACCCTTCTTTTCTAAAAACCAGAAGTGCATCTGGAAGCTGAATATGCATTTGAAGTTAGGAATTCTTATTTCAATTATCCAATGCTTTTATGTCTTATAGGCATGGAAACTGTACGAGAGGAATATGCATTTGAAGTTGGTGGACGAGACATTAGACCCAAGTGAGTACAAAGAAGAAGATTTGAAGAAAATCTTAGAGATTGCTTTGATGTGCACTCAGTCGCCAGTTTCTCTTAGGCCAACAATGTCTGAGGTGGTTGTTTTGCTTTTAAGCGAGCGCTCAGCAGAGCCTAGACGCCTAAGCAGGTCTACCTTCCTTGAGTCTGACCTGAGGATTCGCGGGGATACATCCACTTCTACTGGCTCATCAACATCCAATGCCACTGCCTCAATTACTGAGTTCACAGGTCGCTAGCATCTAGACTCATTGGACTATTAAGTATATGACTACGTTCATTATCTTCAAGTCACTTTAGCACCACAATTTACACAGAACTTTAATTCTTCAATTCATATATGTAATCATAACATTCATGTTTGTAACTTATGGTATATTCACCGCCTGTCAAATATCGTTCTTGCAAGGGTTAGACTGCTGTTTCTGTGCATTGCAAATTGCAATCCCCTCAACTGGTTGTAACCCTTTATACGTCGAGTGTAATAAATGGAATGGTTTTCATATCCAAGGTTGTTCCTTGTATCCTTGTGAGTTTTTGTTTGTTCATATGTTGAAATCGCTTTTTTCCACTAACTGGCGGGGAAAAAAAAAGCGCACACGCACACACTCACACTCCTAATGCTTATCTATTGATTCATTGAGCTACAAAACCACCATTAAGGTGGACAGAGCTTGCAAGCTGGATAAAATGTGGTGCTGCCTGGGTGTTGTAGTCTATCCATTTCAGCAATCATCACGGCGAAGCTCACCATAGTCTGAGAGGTTGAATCTCTAGGCTGGGTGGGGAGAAAGTATGGTCTTTGTCCATGTTCTAAGGATTTCATGGCACGGTGAAGGGCAGAGTAGTGCTCGATGTCCAGTTCAGTTGTGGTTGATTATGGGGGATTCAAAGAGCTGTGTTCAATTTACCTATTTGAAGAGAGATTTAAGGGCTAAATAGATTTGATTTTTATTTTTTATTTTATCTTTTATCTTTTATCTTTTTCTTTTTTTGGGTAAACTTTGGAAACTGAAGTGGTCGTTATGTTTGTTAGAACAGTTATGTTAGCTGGCAAAAAAGGCGGGAATCAGCATAGTTTTATTTGCCAGTTATAATTTCGTTAAGTTTGTTTATAGTTAACGTGAGGCCAACATGTCCACCTAATTGTTTTTCTTCAAAATGAAGTATAATAACAAGATTGGATCTGTTGGTCTCATGTTATATAGCTTTGTGACTTTGTTGAATGACAATTGAATCCGTTGGTCTCATGTTATATAGTTATGTGACTTTGTCGAATGACAATCAGTGACAGATTTAGAAAATTTTATAAGAGGGGCGGATTTTTAATTTGTGAGGGCAAACTTATATAGTGGGTCCATTTTTATAATTTTAATTAGGGTTTTTTTATAAATTTTCAAAAATATAAAGTATAAAATGCAAAATAATAATAATAATAATAAAATAAATAGTGGGGCCGAATTGTAATTTTAGTGGTGAAATTTTCATAAATTCTTAAAAAAATTAAGTATATATATAAAAAAAAAAAAAGGAATCCAATGGGGCAAATTGTAATTTTAGTGGAAGTATCTTCATAAATTCAAAAAAAAATTAAGACATAAAATGAAAATATACGTTGGGTCTGTGCCTGATGACAATGTGCCCGTTGCAACGTACTCAAAAGCTTAAACTGTTAGGTGGGGCAAGTCGCTGCTTGTGACATTCTCTCCCACCTGAATTTGCAACGCTTTTGTTGTTGTCGGGTCACCCTGTCTACCAGAGGTGAAGCATCCGGACACATCTGGGTTGGGCGCTTGGTGTGGCACCAGATCACGGATTGGATTTAGCTCCGATACCAACTATAATGGACGGATGCTTTGCAATTAAACTAAAAAACTTAAATTATTAAGTGGAGCTAACACCCAAACTCATATATATTCATTCACTTTCCCATCCCAATACAACGTGGAACAAGTCTCTACTTGTAACACTTGTCCATTAGGATGTGATGCCTAGCCTCCAAACCGTCCTTTTTAACATCCCTAATTGGAGGATTTAATGTGTGCTCATTAAGAATTTTAGTGTATTCAAGTTGAATCCAGTTTGTAAAAGAATTAGAGCTTATGTCAAATTCACAAAATTTCATCAGATTATTGTATCCGGTTTGTAAACTGAATTTCATCATATCGAATTGGAATTGAAAAACCTAATTCAATTTTAGTCCCATTTGAAACCCCACCTGGAAGAGTTAGATCCCACCCATAACTACCAAAATCCCATTTTTATATAAAATTACCTAAACTATCCCTACACACGTGTATATAATATAACTACTGAGGAGTCATTTGTCCCACGTGCCAACCTCTCTAACAGAAAATTGTCTTTATAAACCCGCCAAAACCACCCATTACTCTCCCACTCTACTCTCTCTCTCTCTCTCTCTCTCTCTCTCTCTCTAGGCTTCAAGAATCAAGATCTCTCAGAAAATTTTTGTTGCATGCAAACCCTAGTTCGTTCTCTCTCATGGATCGTGCAGAGAAAGAAGCTCTGCGAGCGCAAGCCAGAGAAATGCTAAACTCCCCTGACCTCACAGCCATGGAGACACTCGTCTCTCACCTCAACTCTCAGGACGATTCACAGAAATCAACGGCGACGAAGCTCTTCAAATTCTGCGCCGGAGAATACCCTAATAATCATATGCTAAAACTCTCTCACCTCTTCCGATCTTGCCCTCGATTCGACACCCGAATTCGCTCGGGTAAACTGTTCTATTCGCTTCTCCTTCATCCCTGGTACAGCTACCATCTAATCTCTCCAATGATCTTGACTGAAATCAAATTGGCCTTCATTGATTGTATTCATCAAGAAAAACCTGAACCCTTTTCCAAGATCACGTGTCGGATTGTCTCTGTACTCGCCAAATTTATATTTGACGACAATAAAGATTGGCCAGAGCTTTCGGATTATGCCATTGAGTACGTTGAATCAGATACAGAACATATTCAAGAATTGACCATCTTGGTATTCGCTAAAATGCCCGAGTCACTCGGTAAGAAGTCATTAGCTCATCTTAATAGGCTTCACTCAACGTTTTTGCGCCGATTGGAGTCCTTGAATTCGCGTACTCGATTGCATGCCATTTCTGCTTCAGCCAATTTGGTTCGAGTAGTGCCGCATACTTTGTACCGTCAGCTTGAGGACCTCTTGCCGGCAATGATGCAGGTGGTGTTTGAATTTTTTATCGAAGATCAGGAGATGCATGCTCAAAAGGCTCTCGGCGAATTGGTTGTGTTGGCAATGCCAGCAGTGGAGTTTTTTGTGCCGCGGTTGGATTATGTTTTCAAATCCATGATTCGGATTGCAAAGAACGGGGCATTCACAGAGCAGACAAGGTGTGTTGCAGTTAAAGTTCTTAGCGCCCTCAGTGATGCGTGGGAAATAGAGCTCATAGAGAAGTTACCACATGATATCATACGAAGTCTGTTCCCAGTACTGATGAGGATGCTTACAGTAGTCCAAGATGATCCGGCATGGCATGATGCGAACAATGAAGATGGCATGAATGCGGGGAAATCGGAATCTTATGATCTTGGAGTGTATGTCTTGGATCAACTTTCTGTTGCCTTGAATGAGGATATTATCATGGCCATTGCTTTAGAGCTGGTACCAGTATACTTGGCTGCTCCAGAATGGCAGAACCGTTTTGCTGGAATCACTGCCCTTGCTCGGACTGCACAAGTATTCTTAGAGGTATACAGAGCGTTGCATTATGTTTCTCTTTTACTATACATAATGTGTTATGTATATATGACCATTTTTGTAGCTTAATTCTTTGACATTAGAGTGATTTGTCCCTTTATAACATGTGATGATGTGATCACTGGTGTATATATGTAATAATGTGAAAAAAACAAACATATATATCAATGTGTATGTGTGGGTGGGGTTATTGTTGACAGTATTTGATTTTTTTCCCCTTTTCAAACAGGTATATAATCTTGTAGGTTGGGTGAGCCCAACTTGTACTATAATCTTTTAAGCTCAGGTTGTGTTCGGATGGGAATTTGGGTTGATACCAAGTTGTACTTCAGTTAGGTTCAGGTTAATTGCCCAATGTCCAACCTCTATAACAGAATTTCCAAGAATAAAAAATAAAAATATTTGCGAAAAATATTAAATAAACATGTCACATGACTAGTAAGGGAAAAAAAGAATTTCATCATGTGAAGTTAAATTAGAAACTGGGTTCAGCTTGGGTTACTCAATTTGAGTTGGGTTCAGGTTGTCAGATGACTCAGCCCAAGCTCAATCTAAATTAAATTCAGGTAGGGATTTTTCTAACCAAACCCAGCCCGAGTTCTGTCCAAAATAAAGAAATATTGGGTTGTCATATTGGGTTAGGGTACCCCAATTTTATGTTAAGAGTTAACTAGGATTTAGTTACTACTTTTGTAAGCATTCTAAACATGTATACAGTTTTAGAGTTTCTGCATTTATTTTTTACAATTAAATCATTCAATTTTTAGATTAGATTTTTGCTGTTTGTTCTGGTCATGGAATTTATATTAAGATCTCTTATGCCAGCGGCTGCTTATTAAATATTAGGACCTTTTAGCGGTAAACTATAAATAGAGCTTATTTGGCAGACTTAAATTTGGATAATATGACATGAAGCCATTAAAAAATAATTTTTTGCTCTTCATTGTACTACTAACTAGGAATATAAACAGTGTGACTCCCGTAATTGGAGGTTTTTCCAAATGACATTGTTGTTACATATTGCAAAAGTAACCTAATTATTTATTCATTGAATTCCAAAGTTCCCAAAGTTTTGTTGACTAAAAGAATTTTTGCAGATAGAATGATCACGTCTATGGGTTGAGGTTTATTGTGGTGGAAAAAAAAAATTGATAATATATTGGTCAATTTTACTTTCAAGTGATTTCAGATGGGTAGAAGCCACCAGAGAGATTTAAGTGCATGTTATGTGTGAGTAAATTCAATGTACAAGCTACATGTGAGTGAATTCCAAGAACAATTTATCTGTGATTAGATATTCAAATGATGGAATTATATGTATTTGAGCACTATTTTTAGTTTGACTTTAACAATGGAATGATGGAATTATATTGCTGCAGTTAATTACTGAAAATCTCAATCAAGTTGTAACAATGGCTTTGAACTTATTCCAAGATCCTCATCCTCGCGTTCGTTGGGCAGCTGTTAATGCAATTACATTGTTAACTAAAGCGTTCGGTCCAGATTTGCAAGTTCAATATCATCAAGTGATTTTTCCTGCACTAGCTGCAGCAACTGGGGACTCTCAGAATCCCCGTGTACAGGTATATGAATTTCTGAACCTGTAGATTCAATGAAATGCTAACAATTCATTGGTTTCTTTTTACATATTATGAATTTTATGAATCACTTTTGTATGGTTATTTTTGGTATACTTTTTATTACAGCTGTGAAATGCATTTGCAATGCAATAGGAAAAACCAAGTTACAGCCTCCTGATATATTGCTCTCAAGCTCCGTGTGACCCCATAGACCCCTTATTTAATTAGGCCAGCCAGTAGCCTAAATTATATACTTCATTTTGGCCATTCAAGAGCCTCCTGGCATGAACCTAGTTGAAAATACAACCTTAATATCTTGGTAGAATGACTCTCTACTCTCTCTCTCTCTCTCTCTCACACACACACTCACAAAACATGTTGATATCTTTAAGGTCCATTAAAAGCATAAACTTGTCATCTTATGCATATTTTCCCTTCAACATGTAGAGCTTTGAGTTTCTATGATTTCCATTTTAATAATTTATTAAGTTCCATTCCTTATTTTCTGATTTCCATGTCTTTGCAGAATCTGTATTGGGTTATGAAAATATAAATGGGAGTTTTCTGTTGGTAATTTTCCAATTTTGAAGGTTGATATTGGGAATAAACATTTAGAATGCTTTTGGCGGTTTTAAGTTGTTAACCACTATTTAATCTAAAAGCTTAAGTGTTAGAGAGAGTGGAAATTTAATATTTAAATCCTCAACGCAACTCATATAAATTGATCCAGGAATTTAGGCAATCTCAATGAAGTGGACTTTATGGTTCTTGACCTCAGAACTGACGTTTTCTTATTCTCAGTCTCTTAAATTTGTTGTACCTTTGCCCGTGGTGTGGGGAGGGATAGGGTATATACTAAGTGAGATGTTCCGTTTTGTTTTTGATTTTTCCTGTCACGTTTAAACAATGATTCTCTAACCTTCTCATTGTATGGTTATTTATTAGCTAGTATACTAATTGTGAGCTTGGAACTCATGTTCTTCCTTTTTCCTTTTTCTCATCACACAAGTCCCTGATTGCTCAGCCGTTTATCATTCAAATTTAAATCTTCTGTACCTAGGATCCCTATTTTGTAAAAGACCTTTCCCATAAAATATTTATCGCTTACAAAGTTACAAGCAATGGGCTGGTGCATTCAATTTTTATTTCATTAACCATTTTATTGTTTATTTTCTGCACTTTCTTGATGTTTTTGTGATAAACTAATTCCTACAGGCACATGCTGCAGTCACAATGTTGTTATTCTGCAAGAAATGTACTCCAAATATCTTAACACCTTACTTGGCCGAAATAGCGAGCATACTGCCTGTCCTCCTGCAGGTATTATAACTAAATCAGTGGGTGCATGCACAAGTAGCTAATATATGCACACACACACACATGTATATTAAAGATATAAATTCAGACACAAACATAAAACCATGTCTTCACACACATGTCCATACCATGTCTCTAAATAAACTCCACTAATATATTAAAACAAAATCATCCCACTGGGTCTATTTTTAGTTCAGATATTTTTGGCTTGTCCATGCGTATCTATCTGCATATCTAAATCTTGGCCCTTTTTACCCGTGCACATTTTAGAACGGGAATCAAGTGTTGCAAGAAGAAGCTTGGGCCACTCTAGTATCAGCTGCAAGTTCACAGGTGTTCTTTCATGATTGTTTTTAGTTACAGTTACACATTTGATGGATTTCATTTTTATTTGTTCAAGTTTAAAATTGATTTCTCTGACAATATGTGTATGTCTTTAGGACCAATTTCAAATAGACTATGACAAGATAATTCCTTTCCTGAAAGCTATCTTGCTGAATGCTACTGACACATCAAAGAGGACTCTTCGTGCCAAATCTATGGAGTGCATTAGCTCAATTGCGATGGTAGTTGGAAAGGACAAATTTCAGGAGGATGCTAGGGAGGTGATAGTTTGTAGTGATTCTTTTTGTGTGCTTTAATGAGAATTATTTGGAAATGTTTCAGTGAAGCATTGTATGAGATTCTGCTTGATTTAAGTTTTCCATTTCTGCTCAACTCCAGTTGTTAAATATATAAACTTATTTGATAATTAGGCTACTTTCCACCATTATCTCCTCCAAATGCTAATACATCTAATGTGATCCAAATGGATATTAGATTTTATATTTGTCTTGAAATAAGTAGTATCCATGCCACTAGGTAGTGGAACATAACAGAGTTATTGGCATGCTCTTTTTGTGCTTGCCGAACTTACCCTATTTTTCTCACTCTTGCAACTCCATCAAATGACAGCTTCACTATCCAATTCAAATAAACTTCAGAACTAAAAATGCCTGCACATTATTTTTTCTGCTCTCCCTTTTTTTTTTTTTTTATCATCATCTTGTCAGAAAAATATACCAGCCCCTCTTAGATTTCTTATACCTTTACTTTTCTGTTTCTTTAATCTATTCACAAGTAACACCAATCTATTTTCATACCTTTAATTTGGCAAGTGATGACACTGAGTGTTGAGTATGTGGCTTGTTCTTTCTTTGATGTTTTACTCAAAAAAATTAACAATTTAGTATTGCAAGCTGTACGCTTAGAGGCCTAAACTGAAAAACAAATTTGGTTATTTATTTAGATCATACATTTAAATTGTGGTGAACAGCTGAAAGGAAGTAGAGTGAAACTTTACAATCGTCCAATGACTTAAAATCTCTTATTAGACCGTTAGAGTGGACTGTAGAATAAATACATACTTCAAAATGTTAAATTAATAAAACATCATTGACTTCGATAAATTAAACTGCTTTAAGCGGGAATCACATTCAGTGTTTTTCTTTTTGTGATGTAACTCCCTCTTATTTTGTTATTCGACATGCCAATGTGGAATTTAAGATTAGTCAAGGTGTTTGGCTTCCATCTCATGGTAGCACACACTATGAAGTACATTTTTTAATGTATTGGAACCTATAAGGTGGGATTGATGTGTTTTATTAGATTATTTCCTTAGGCAAGGCTGCAATTTCCTTTCTGGCTATGATTACGAATAATTGTTTTTAGTATGATATAATTAATGATTTCTTCTTTTACTTGGATCAATTGTATGTTATATATTTTAAGACCATTAGTCTAACACTATGTATTAATTTGTATTTTCATGCTAGGTTATAGAAATTCTTATATCATTACAAGGATCTCTGATTCAGAGAGATCACTATATGCAAATCAACATTTTAAAAGTACGTATTATTTAAATTGTTATCAATAAATTATGTGCCTAGTGCTCTATCTCCCAGTTACCTTCTTCAATGTGATAATTTTTTGATTGTTTTCAGACCTTGTTCAGACTTTGCAAATGCCTGGGATCAGAAATTTTCCCTTATTCTGGAGTTCTAATGCCTGCATTGCTTCAGATATTTAATCAAAGGTTTGCCTCCGGACAAAGAAGTCAATCATTCCTATTTAGTTCATAATATTGAATATTTGTGCAAACAACTTTGAACTGGCTGTGGACCTAATTTTTTGTGGCTACTCAAGTCCTGCTTTAATGATTCAAACTTGTGATGATGAATTGAAAGCATATGGTTGTTTGTTTGCATTTCAAGTGTATATTTCTATTTCCCTGTGATGGGTTTTTAATTAACGTGGCTACTCAATTTTTTGTTTGTTTTATATGCTTATAAGCATGTGAATTTTGGCTGTCCATAAAATTAAAGTTAAGAGACAGCATATTCCTTAATATCATGACACGGATACGATGAGCATACAAAAATACATTTATATATGTTAATATGTATGTATATATATGCAGAAGAATTGAAATATTAGGATCAAGTTTCCATGTTATCAATAAATCAATATATAACCAAAAATCTTAAAGGTTTGAAAATTTCAAAAATATCAAAGGTTTAAAATTTTCATACCATACCTTGGATTATACCCCAACTCCTCCCTTTGCCCCCGCCACCCCACCACCACCACCACCCAAGGAAAAAAAAAAAAAAAAAAAACAAATAAAAAATTATTTTTTTCCTACACTTTTAAATTTCTCCATTTTGTAATGTTTCTTTCTTCCTTGTTCTATTACTAATGTTTATGTTTCTTATAAAAATAATTATGGAGAAGTTGAGATAATTAAAGACTGTAAGGCTGCTATATATATGTTTAAAAAAAAAAAAAAAAAAAGGAGAGCATCAAACGAATCATCTGGCCACAATATTCTTAATGAACTAATTTGAAATTTGTGTTAAGCTATAAGCATATATGTATGAAAAAACTTGTCCTAGATGGAGCAAGTTTATGGACAGCCAAAATCCACATGCTTATAAAACAAGGCTAGGTAATTTATGAAGGAGAGATAAATTGTTTTAGATTATCTTGGCCCCAGTAGATTGTAAGGGTGCAGTTGGAATTGCCGTACCAAAGGTAACTTCTAGATGGCAGTCCTTGTATCCTCATCATCTTTAGGGTAACTTCTAGAATCCCACGATGCAGTTGTCATTTCTTTCTTTGCATAAAAGCAAGTTCTCTTCAAACTCTTCCGGAGGGTTTTCTTATTCAATGATATTTCTCTCTCTATTTCCAGCTTTCTTTCTCTCCATCTCTATCTTCATAGCTTTTCCAAGTGCAGCCTAATGGTGTATGGATTGTGATTCTGAGAAAATGAAACTGGTTATCATACCGCATAAGTTATTTAATGGTAGGAGACAGGTAAAGAGGGAAAGGATAGAAGTATAGAGAAGAGATGGAAATCTCATTCTTGCCGGTTGAAGCCAGCAAGATTTGTGTTGCAACCCTATTAGTGAGGATAAGGCACCAGTGTTTGTAATGTAGTATTCCTCTCTCTCTCTCTCTCTCTCTCAATGAGCACAGACACGCCTAAAATAATTGCTTCCAAGTAATTTAATGATTACCAACAACTTGAAGTACTTTTGAGAAAAACAGAGTAAGTTTGACCAAGATAATCTTCTTTCCGTATGCTCTTTATATCATGTTTTGGCTCTTTTGCTGAAGACATGCATTCTTTTATTTCTGGGCGCCTTAGTGAGGGTATTGAAGCAATTAATATCCTAGAGGAGAAAGCTTTATCTTGTGCGGTGCTGACCTACTGTGCTGCTCAGTTGAAGGAAAAATTCTTTCCATGGATTGATCAGGTTGGTTGTGATGCATTATGTATGATTTTCACTGAGGCTTTTCCGTTTCAACAAAAAATATTCTAATGGGGAGAATTCAATGTGATGCAGGTCATTGATGCTATGATTCCACTTGTCAATTTTCATCATACCAAAACTAGATTGGCTGCTGTTTCTGGTATTCGCTTAAGTTGCAGGTCCTTTTTCTTTGTTGGGCCCTTTGACCTTAGCAAGTGTGCTAAATTTGAATGATTCATGTTTTGCTTTTAGCAATGCCTGCACTGCTGCATTCAGCTAAACTTGCTGTTGAGAAGAAACAAGCTCAAGGACACAAAAATTCCTATATTCAGAAATTGGTTCTTCAAGTAGTACCAGCTTTGGTGGAAGCTTTGAGCAAGGTCATACTACTCTGCTTAAATAGCCAATTTAAAATTCTGGTCTGTTCTAAAACCAAAAAAATCAATTGAGATCTCTATGGAGTCTATGCTAATTAACTTTATATTTCAAGTTCCTTATAAAAGAAGATTATTGTCCTTGCAGTAAGTAATTTATTATAAAGATTGAATTGCAACTGTCATGTAGGAGCCGGAGAAAAAAACCTGGTCAGAAGTGCTAAACTCATTAACTGGATGCATTGAGGTTTGTTACATTCTTTACTGAAGCTTCATTATGTGTCAGAGATGTATAATAGCTTCATTAAGACAATTCCATATATTAAGTTTGGAATGGTATCGAGTGATTAATCAGTATGACTTTGTATATTCATAACACATTTCTAAAAGGGGTCCCCAGAAACATATAATTTATGGTGCTATCTCATGGAAAGGCTAAAGTTAGTTGGCTACTATATGGAGGCCTCAATTGAGGAGACTCAGACTGAGGTTGAGATTTCAAGTCAATATACTAAAACAGACCTGAACAAGTATGTGGGGAAATTCTACCTAGACCGTGAGTCTACTTTCATAAAGTTGTCTTGCCTTCAGAATTAATATACATAGCCATTCAACATCCCTTTACTTAATTTGAATTGATTTAACAATATTGTATAAGAAAGAATGTTGTGGTATGTGAAATATAACTTACAATATAAAAAACTGTTCCAAAATATTATACTCTGTTGCCAACCTGTCATTTGAAGAATATTGTGTACTTCTCTTAAGCATTGCATTTTCATTTTTACAGGCCTCTGGATCTCTTTTTACTAAATCTCAAGTCAAGTTGATTGTAAACGAGATAAAACGAGTGCTGACAGCAAGAACAGTGGACAACTTAGATTGGGTGAAGGATGAGGAAAAAGAAGAAATCTTCAGTCAAGTCAGTATATAAGACAGCTAACCTTCAAATGTTTTATATTATTTGATGGAGTTCTATAATTGTTAGTATAGTTTAATATTTGAGTATCACATGTTTCTGTGTGTCTCAACCCTCATATTTCTTTCTTCATACAGTCTGGTGATTGCTTGTGCATGTTGATCAAGAAAGTTAAGGATAAGTTCTCACCTTTCTTTGATGAACTTTTGTCATATATATCAGAGATGTTGGTAAGTTGTTTCATCAACAATTTCACCTATCCTATTTCATCTGCATCCTACATGCGTTGCTTGTTCCTTGTCATGTCGTTTGATGGCTGTAATACTTGAAAAGAAGGCTGAAGTTTTCTGACTTTCATATTATCTTATATGGTGTTTGAACAAGTTTTGTTGCTTTGTTTCTTAGGAATTTTTTGCAATTGCTTTTCTTTCTAATACCTTTCATGATGTGTAGTGATTGAGAGATTTTCTTGATGCATTTGTTTGTATATTATTGATTGTTATCTTTTGATTTTTTTCATACTTTGGCAGTCGATGAACTTGATGATAGAAAATTATTGAATAAATAATGGTATTGGCTACCATGGTCTTGAATCTTTTCAACACACCTAACTCTCAGCCTCATGAATTGATACATACGTTTAATTCTTCTCTACATGGCCCTATAGATGCAGTCAAATCTAGATAGAAAAAGTGGATTCCTCAAGTGTATTGTGTGATCTATACCTATAAAACTGAGCGACAACTATACTAAAAAATTGATGGGGTGATAACTCTGTTTGTCTCCTTCCCTGTTAGTTTGAAGCTTTAAATGTTGATGGCATTATTATCCAGGCATACAATATCAGCAATATAAAATTTGGAAGTTACAATCCCATTATGATTATCCTGAAGAGAGTAATGCTTTCCGTCCCTTTCTATTCTTAAATAGTGTTCCTCTCAAATTAATAGGATTTCTAACATACTTCGAATTTTTATATTTTAGGCAAGCGCTTCTTGTTGCTGCTTTTCCTTTTCGCTTATGAGTCACAATCTGTATAATATTGTTCTGTAATTTACTAGTGGGGCATATAAGGCGTGTTACGACGCATTTTTTCCATACTAAGAAATGCAAAATTTATGGGTAGCTTATTCAATAATTTGAATTACATTTGAGGCGAAGGTTGATTCATGCCAACCTATTTGATGTTTGCTTCAAAGTTCCCTGGCTCTGCTTCCCATCCATCCATCTATGGCCTCTGCAGTCAAATAGGGACAATATCAAAATAACTGATACTTTAAATCTTCTATTGAAAGGAATGATATCTCATTTAGTAACACTATCATTGGCAATCAACCTTTGGCTGTATGAAAGCTGTGTACTCCTAGATCTTGCATTACTTACTTCGCTTCATTGTGCTTTATATTGTTTGCATGCAGGGTAATGATAAGTCAGCAAAACAGAAACAAACTGCATTTTGTATCTTCAACGATGTTGTACAACAAAGCGAAGAAGCTGCTCTGAAGTAAGCATATGCTACTCACATCGCCTAGTTTAATAACATGATATTAGTTTGTACTTTCTATCTGATCTTCTTATATGTTCTCTGAACAGATATGGTGATTTTTATCTCCCTTTCTTGTTGCAAGCTTGCAAGGATGAGAACCCCAATGTTCAACAGGTTTTAAATCTGACCATGCCTGGCAGTTTTCTATGTCCTATGATGCTCTTGTGCATTTAGAAATATCTTCTGTCTCTCCCCCCATCCCCCTCTCATATGCTTCAGGAAGCTGCACGTGGGATTGGTGTTTGCGCAGAGTTTGGTGGAGCTAAATTCAATCCTTCTGCTGAAGGTAGCCTATTTCTCAAACTTTCACATATTGAAGTAATTATTACTTGTATGAAAGGTATAATAACTAGAGTCTGATCTTTCTATTACCTTTCATGTAGAGGCTATTTCGAGTCTAAATGCGATGATAGGAGATCCTGATGCATTAAATTCAAATAATGCAAGAGCATATGACATGGCTGTTTCAGCACTTGGAAAAATATGTGAGTTCCATCATGACAGAATCAATGCAGCTCAGGTAATCCTTGGTTCTTTGTCTATTGACCAAGCATGTACACATTTTTCACTATCTTCAGATTCTAGCTTATTGCTCCAGTGTAGTTCTTTGAGTATAGTATATATGTACATGATGATTTATAATATTCTATAAATCCTTTCGTTGATGATTCCAAAATTATCCTTTTGCTGCGATACATGTGCTCGTGTGTGCTATTGGTAAATATGGATATATAATCAGTGGAAAGAAGGACCGGTTCTCCTCAAATCTCAAGTTAGATGTATAATGTACTAGAGTGGAATTTACCTCTGAAAGTTCAGATCATACGCAATGCCCGTGATCTAGACCTTGGGGTGGGGGGGGGGGGGGGGGGGGGGGGGGGGGGGGGGTGTGTTAGATTGGATTACAAAATTTTAACAGATCTTTTGAATTTTAACTAATTTAACAGAAATTTAAATTAGAGCAAGAATTTAAATCTACTCAATTCAACATGCATGCAATAAACAATTAAAGCAATAAAAACAATGGACACCTATTTTTTTGGTGGAAAATGCAAACTGGAAAAACCATGGAACCTAGTCAGGAAAACCGAATCCACTATGAGAAATAAGGATTACCACCTAGGTTACAGTTTCCAAGAACCCTATAAACTTCTAGTTACCTCATTGACATAGGGCACTGTACTGGTAAACTAGGTCATAACTATTAGTAGTAACTAGCCAAGAATAATTAGACACAGTGCCCCTCTGTGGTGTACAAGAATCTAGATAAATTCTTTCTTTTGAAGTTTCCAGTGGCTGGGCTTCATAACATGGATAGTCTTCCCCCCTGCCTAACCTGGAAGTTTCCAAAGAAATTAGGAATGTTCAAAATGGGAGTGAAATATATTTTAATAATAAATGGCAAAGAAAAATGGTCATTTCAGTGGACAACTTCAGGCCATTGTAAACCATTAACTCAAACCTTATTTAGGAACTTGGATTGCAGAATCTTCTGCCAGAAAAGATAGATGACAAGACAACTTAAAATTTAACCATTCTCTCATAGACACAATTATTTGTTGGAAGATGTTCTTATATTGATAGTAATAGATGCTCTTCTAAGTACCTATAATTTTCTATTTGACTAAATACAGTTCTTAGTGAGCGAGTCTAATCTTATATTGTTCCTAGGGTCTAGAATCTAGATGAAGAAGGCTCACACCACTCTAGTGTTGGTAATATTAAAATTCTTTGATTTTCAATCAGATGTGAGACAACATTTTACCCTACACATGCAAGATAGATGCAGCGGGATGGATCCCATTCGATAAATGTCAAATCTATGTGAACTATATTATAAACATTTCATAATCATAAAATTATTCTTTAGATCATATAGTATACAGTATGATATTTTCAGGAGTTTCTTTTGAAAGAATCCGGGTATCTTTTCATGTGAAGGTATGCATAAAATCATATATATTAGAATACTAGAAATCAGGATTCATTTATCCAAATTTTTTGTCAGCCTCACAAATCGGAATTATCTGGCTGTCATCATCGTCAAATCAGAATATATGAAGAAACTTTCCACGATCTATGTGTTGGCTTCTAGGCTTATAAAATGCTTCTTCACTGTGCTTGGGATTGTCAATACAGAGCCAGAACCTTGGAGTAAGACACTATTTCAGTGTAAGTACTTTAAATGTTGATAAAATATATTTAAAATTTTAGGCTGAAAATTGAACTTTCCGCACTCATAACCCTAATATCTAGGTTTTTTCATTAATATCTTACAGAGGCATATCTTTCCCATTCTATAGGGCATGATATGGATTCTCTGCATTTTTTTTTCTACAGTAAGTCTTAAAAATGTCAAATTTTAAACGTATATATATTCAAAGTAAAGTTGATAGAGTACTATATAAAGGTTCTCTTGCCCCTGCCAATATGCTGCAATGAAATGCATTAAAAAATGGTCGCTCAGCTAGGTTTTAATAGTAAAACACAAACTTTTGGCCATTTTCTCATGTTGACACTAGTTAATGTTGTCCCTTGATGAGGCAAGAATTTAATTTTCCTTGAAAGGGTCATTCCAAAACTATGTTGTGCCAATGTTTATACATCATTATTTCGCAATTCATGCTTAACTTACTGTGTTCCATTTTCTCCACCATTACTGGAGTGTCTTTCCTTCAGATATGATCTCTTATTTCAATACATCATTTGGTACTGTCATGTTAGTTTCAATACTTGCTAATAATCATCATTCATCCTTTTAATGCCCCTGCCGATGGAATCAACTTTCATGTTGTTTGGCAGGTTTTTTCTGTCTGGTTAAGCTACTTGCCGCTTAGAAATGACTCTGTGGAGGCCAAACTTGTCCATGAACAGCTTTGCTCAATGCTTGAAAAGTAAAACGTCTTCTTACAATATGAAATTTCATCACAAGAATCTGAAATATTTATTATCAATTCCCATTTCATCATATGCATACTTTTGCTATAATTTGCAATAGTCTCACATTAGTTCGAAATCAATCTGCATGTTCTTGACATTTCCAGGTTAGACAATGAACTTTTGGGCCCAGACAATATAAATCTTCCCAAAATTCTGGACGTTATTTCGGAGGTAATTTTTTTTACATATTTTATGTGACTATGAAAGAGGAACCACTGCATATTCCTGAAAACAGAAACACAAAGCAGACTATAGACTTGGAAAAAAGCATGCTTTACAATTCATAAATCATATCTCCCTAGCGACATTAGGAAGGAACTGTATTGTTAAGTTGGTTTCTTGATATTTAGGAAAAAAATGATAACAATTTATAGAGAAATTACTTATATATATATATATATATACCTAGTGTGGAAGGCAGTGCTCATAAGGTGTTAAAACCCAGTCGCGGCTGCCAAAGTGGACACGGTTTCTATGTTTCAGATGCAAAGTGAAATGGCGGTTAGTAATGGTGTCGGCTATTGAGATCATGAATGTTTTTCCCCAGCTCAACGATCTTGGTAAAAACAAATGATATACAACTTTTAACTCTAAAATCCAATAAAATTTATTATCAATGATTTTAATGAATCTCGTTAATATCTAAACATGTTTTGATAATGAGTAGTGGTCCAAATGGCCAAAAGCATTTAAACACAGCTTAAAAACATACAGCAACAAGTAAAAGTATGGCATTTGTAATTGATCATCTCTATAATCTATGGCATTTGTAATTGGTCATCTCTATAATCTAAAAAAAAAGTTTAAGAAACTAAACAACAGATCATCTTTGTAATCCAAAATACATAAAATTAAAAAATTTATCATCTCTGTAATCTACAGCATAATATATATATATATGACATACACCTTTGTGTAAATCTAAATTACTTATTGCTTCGAACATTATTAAAAAATGATTAAAAATTGGTAGGTGGGAGACATTGGATCTTGGTAAAAAACCAAAAGGACATTAAAAATTAAAACTTAGCTGTTATTTGAAACTTGAGAACGTTCTGATCATCTAAGGCCAACCTTGTGTTTTTTGAGGTTTGAAATGAAGATAAGTGGAGGAAGTGTTTGAAGGTTGAGAAAAATATGCACATTATATTTGACATTAACACATTTTTATATATGTCTTATCATAGGTCCAATTGTTCGCTTGCCATTCCCTTTTTTTGTTTAAAATGTTAACAAGGTCTTCTGTTGTAGGTTTTGAATGACAGTGACAAATTATTAACAGTGGAAACTGCCAAGCGAATGGTTGCTCTGTTTGAGAGATACAAGCAGCTATAAACACCCTCTGTTGGCATTTTCTTCTCCCTTTTGGAAACACCAGCAGCAATTGTTTTTGGTATGCATTACTGCACTACTGCCCATATCTTTGTACAGTGTGAATACGTAGAATGTCTAGAAATGCAGCGGTACACCATCTGGATAGCAGAGTGTGAATCTGTACAGAGACAAAGGAAGATTTACAATATGGTTCGCAGAACAGTGTTTGTTGTATTGTATGTATAGCATCCATTCTTTTGTATAGTGCAATCATTATAACATTCTTCGTGTCATAAAAGAATATTTCTTTGGTATAGAATGTATATAGATGGGATTATACAACACTCATAGTTCTGATAAAATGAAAAATATTCTTTTCACTTGTTGCTTTATGTTCCGAAGGCTGTAAATCTGTTATTGAGGAAATTTTGTAAATGCCTTTGGTGCTTTTCTCTACTTGTTGAATGTGAAGAACATAGTCTTTTGGCTTTAATTGTATAATCTTTAGCTGAAATGTTTTTCCAACCATTTGGTTTTATCACTGTAATCAAAGGATGGTAAGATAGACCTCATGCAGGTGAAAAATATAATACAACAGAACTAATGTCCAGATCAAAATAAGATCCTCAAAAGCATATCTCAATAATAGTATAAAAAAACAGAAAAAGAGAAACGAAAAGAAAAAAGATTCGAAATCAAAACTCACAACACAAGACTTTGGTACTGTGTACAGGGGCGCAGCCAGGAATTCGTTTCAAGGGGGGCGCCGTATTAAATAGGATAAATTATATATTTTTTCAAGCTAATAGTGTTGCAAGACAATAAGTCGAAAAATAGAACTGTAATGATGATGGAATAATAGCATTTAATAATTTGAAAAACAATTATTTAAAAAAAAAGAAGAAAAAAGATGGCAACATAAATAACCGACCTTAAGAGTCCTTTTAGCAACAAATTTATTTTGCAAACTTTGAAGGGAAAAAATATAGTTTGAATAAAGGAATGCAAATTTTTTTTTTGAAGAGAATATAAAAAAGAAGAAGAAGAAGAAGAAGAAGAGGAGTAAGAATGAAAAGAAAGGAAAAACTAAAGAGATTTTTAGAAAAATAATTATTTTAGTGGGCATTTTGTAAAATTTTATAAATTACAAGCCTATTTGTAATAAAATTTAATTGGCCCAGGTGTAAATAATTATTTCAGGGGTCATTTTTCACTTTTTAATAAATTATTGGCCCATGTGTAATAAAAATTAATGACCAGGGGCAAAGAGTTTTCTAGAAAAAAATTATTTTAGAGGAAGCATTTTGAAAACTTTCATAACTCATAAGGCCAATTTGTAATTAAAACTAATGGGCCAGCATGGGCCCAGTGGTGGCATGTGCCACCAGTGTAAGAATATTAATTACTCTAAAAAGATTTTACAATCTGCAAGGTTCAAACTTTTTAGAGTAGTTTTTCAACCTTAGACTGTAAAACATAAACTACGAATAGTGCCCAAAAGCTCAAGCTTGGATTTGACGTGGACAAGTCTTCTCTGTAACGTTTTTTTCCATACAAACTCGCTCTTATTACGGTTAAGTCACCTTGCCTATCTGAGGTAGCACACCCAGACTCATCCATGCGGGGCGCTTAGGTTGTCCTCTTTGTAACAACTAGCGACAACACTACTAACAAGCTATGGTGGGTCCCATCACAACCGATGAGTAATCGGTAGTCCATTGGTGGATCCATCACAACAATTGAGTAGTCGGCTTTCGGAGTAGTTAGGTTATGCAATAAGTATAACACTGTTGTCCGAATGATAAAAAGATAAGGCATTAAGTATCCCCATCCAACGGCCTTCAATCCCCTTCTCCTATCCCCCACTAACTAAGTCACTAAACATTGCGAAGTTAAAAATATATATATATATGATTCACCTCCACATGTAGTAATAATATTTGTCACATAATTAATAAAAAGTCAATATTCACATATTTTGAACATTGCTCACTAACGGATCTTGAAACTCTCGTCTTTTTGAAAAATTATAAAATACTTTAGGGGTATGGTTGCGCCCGCTGCACGGTGCATTCAGGGGCAACCAAGTTTTCTCCAATCCAACCGGCTTTTCTTTGAGGGAGGGGAAGGTTGACGTGGCTAAATCTCCAGACCCGTTATCATATTCGTATTCAATCACCACCGTCCATCTCCACCTTTACTATGGAAATCACCTGCGCTACAGTACACCTTATATAGTACTGTAGTACCCTTAAGTCTTAACACCCGCCAAAACTCCGATTCAATCCTCCCCTAGCAACGACTATCCCCGCTCTCTCTCCCTCTCCTCTCTCTCTCTCTCTCTCTCTATACACACACATAAAACCATTTCAGGCGTCTCTAGCTCTGTAGCAAGAACCATCATTGTTCAAGAGTCAAGACACTCTAGCAAGAAAATACGCACTCCCGAGCGCGCGCACACACACTTTCTCTGTATACACATATATAAATAAATCTCTCTGTAACAGACAGAGCCATAGGCGTTCAAGTTTTACAATATTTTTGAAGACCTAAAACTGTTTTCCTCTCATGGCGTCGATGCAACATTTTGAAACCCTAGAAATGCAAGCCAAGAAACTCGTTGGCGATGAACCAGTACATCTGATAAATCTCCTATACGACCTCTCCTCCTCTGACAACACCGTTCGCTCCAACGCCGAATCGGTCTACAACTGCTGCAAGAGAGAGTACCCGTACTCTCTCTCTATAGGACTCGCTTACCTCCTCAGGGGCAGCACTATGCCAGAGACTCGGACCATGTCGGCTCTCCTACTCCGCCAACTTCTCACTCGCTTCCGTTGGCCTCAAATCCAGTCTCAGATCCAAGACACTTTGAAATCAATCTGCATTGAATGTCTCGAAACTGAAACTTCACCGGAAGTTTCCAAGAATCTGTGTAATTTGGTCTCTGATATCGCGAAGAACCTTTTACCGAGATTTGAATGGCCCGAGCTTCAATCGTTTATGCTCACATCTCTATCGTCTGGTTTATCTCATGTTCGCGAATTGGGGCTTTTGTTGTTCATTGAATTGATACCACATTATGCTGAAATATTCAGTCCTCATGTGGATACTATACATGCTGCATTTGTGAGTTTTATGGAACAGTCTTTGGAGGATTTGCCTTTGGGAGTTGGGGCAGTCAAGGCTTCGGTGAAATTGGTTCTACATTTTCCAATACGTCAAACCATGAAAAGTTTCAGGACCTTTTGGACTGTGTGTTCAGAACTATGTCCGAGATTGTGTTAGAAAAGGTAGATGAGATGTATGCACAGAAGGTGCTTGAGGAAATGATTGAGCTGGCAGGGACGAAAACGGGTTTCTTGAGGCAGCGAATTGAGACTTTGGTTGATTTTATGATCTTGGTTGCTGAGCAAGATCAGGTCTTTGAAGAGAAGACAAGGCATCTTGCCGTTGAATTCATAATCACGGTCGCGGAAGATAGAGAGCAAGGATGCCTTATGATTCAAAATTTGCCTCAGAGTATAAATAAGTTGCTTGGTCTCTTCATGAACATGCTATTGTTTATTGAGGATGACCCGTCATGGAGCGAAGCAAGCAGTGATGACAAGAATGCAGGGGAAACAGACATGTACTGCTATGGAATGGGGTGCTTAGGTAGATTCGCTGTCGCATTGCGTGGTAATGCAATTTCATCCAATTTCCCAGACTTGTTCCCATCATTCTTGGATGATTCAGAATGGACAAAGCGCCATGCAGGGGTAACTGCCCTCGGCCTAATTGCAGAAGGATGCTCAAAGGTATGAGAGCTGTTTTAACTGTATAGTGAATTATGTTATTCTACCTGTAATCAGCAATGTGTGTGTGTGTGTGTGTACAAACTCAAATAAGTATAGCTAATTCATGATGATTTGGGGTTTTCAAATACTGGTGTAGGTAATAAAACAAAATAGTTTGAGCCTGTTTGTGGAAAAAGTTTTGCTTCTCTTCCAAGACTCTCACCCTCGTGTGCGTTGGGCGGCTATCAATGCAATTGGGCATTTGTCTAACCATTTAGGCCCCCAGTTGCAAGAGAAGTTTCATCAACGGTTGATCCCTGCACTAATAGCAGCCATGGATGATTTTCAGAATCCCAGAGTACAGGTATTTAGGTTTATATGAGTCATACGGTATTTGAAATGATAATCAATTAAAAGTCATTTTCCACAATAGTGTCAAGAATTTATTTTATTGTGGACCGATTTTGAACAACAATAAGTTCAATAAAATTAATTAAAATAAAGAAGAGGGAATTTGTTTCTCTTTTTTTTTTTTTTTTTTCCTTTCTATAAAATGAAATGAAGCAATTGTGCACACATTTCATTTTCTTTCAGAAAATACTATCATGCTCCACTTTTGAAGGATATTTTTGTCATTTCATTTGTAAAAAAAAAAAAGGAATGTAAATATCACGTGCCTTTTGAAGGGGACCAAAAACAATTTGAGGGGCAGCATTAAACTTATTGTAATATATATGTAAATAACTAAAAAGAATTTAGTGGGGCAGCTGGTGTCTCTGCCACTATCTGTATTTAAATTATGTATGCTATTTTGCTCCATGATGTTCATCCTTCAGCTTGTGATCATATAGGATGCTCACTTCATTTTGATGATTTTTTTCTCTTTAGTTTCTTAGGGAAGAAACTAGGATGAATGTAAATAAATGCATCTCTATTGTGATAGTCTGTTTCCTTGAGACAAGCATATTGAAGCATCATCACATCATCATTGACTGACTTGAAAACTGAATTGTGATGGTCACGATCTTGTACTTTGATAATTCTCCTTAAGGGGCCTTCTGTGGTTGAACTTGAGATGTCGAACTGAATCACTACTTCTAGATGCGATAAATATTATTTAATGATCAGGAACAAGTAGTTGTGTTTAACAAGAGATTTTGTTTTTAATATAATAATACATTTTTCCTAGCTAGATTTATTATATAGATTGGGTTTACAGCATGTGCAGGGGAACATATTAATCTATTTGTAATTCTTAAGCTCATCGGGGGAGCATAGTAACAGTATTACCTTATTTCTTATGTAATCACAAGGAATTTAGTGGATTCTTTATAATATATATATATATATATATATATATATATAGCGGATGTTAGTAAAGTCCACGAGAAAAGCATTTTCTAGAAGACCCATGAAAGAGGACACTCTTAGGTTTAGAGGAAGAAAACAAGTCACTTGAGGAGTGAAAGTATTCTCTAGTTTCTTTAATACTTAACTCAATTCAACCAGATCTTGTCTAAATTATTTAAGGTTGGTTGCATAGATCCTGGTCTGTGATTCAGTTCTTTTTAGGGCAGTTGCTTTGCTAAACTGCAGGCTAAAACATCTTCTTTTAGTATCTCAACTTATGTCCATTTTGGTTTTCCCTGTCCCCTAGCATACCTTCAATATGGACCAATTACACTTCCTCAATGCTGCAGGCTAAGTTGTCTTAGTTAATTTTCTCTAAATTTATTTCTAGCTGGTACTAGTTCCAGAATCCGTTTATTTCTAATTGTATCTGTTCTTGTCCTCCTATACATCCATCTTGATATCATGTATTTATGTTCATTTTATGAACATGTTATTTCTTTACTACATTTAGCATTATGTTCAGTTCTCATATTTTATTCACTTTCTCTATTTAAATAACCAATTTTAAATTTTGAACTTGCGCTTGTGTAACATTTGCCATTTGGTGGCCTTTGCATTTCTTAAGGTGTAAATAGCTGCAGATGACCACATTCATCTCTTTGGGTGTGGTGATGGTCATAACTCATTTGGTTTGGAATTGAATTGATTCTCTAGAGGTTTTCGCAAGATCCAAGACCATACGGCCATAGTGTGCGACATTGAGTGAATGCATACTACAAAAGAAGTTCCGTAGATAATGCAGGACCCTCCTTGGTTCATATATAATAGGTTTTGATGCAAGAATGCATAGTAAGTCTTACTCTGTAGAGTTCAACTTGATTATCAATTTGACGTCCTAAAAGGTTTTTATTTATTGATCAACCATGTAGTCTCCTGTTAGAAAATTTTGAATCATGTGGCCAATTATTGAATTTCATTCTGATTATTAAACAGTGTCGCTCAAAATTGCCTCTCCAAATCTCTCTCTCTATATATAGAACATTTTCACATATTATCTTATATGTACACTCTATTTTCACACACGCGCACACACATATCATATATACGTAAAACCGTGATACAAGAGGTAAGCATTTACTTACTGGAAAAAAGAAAGAAAAAAAAAGAGGCAAGCATAAGCAGAATTCATAGAATATCATGTATTCATATCCGGTAAACAAGGGACACATGCCAATGAAGTATATGTGCTTGTGTTCGGTATGTAGATGTAACAGGAAATCGGTTCCACAAGGCTCAATTATTTTCTGATATATAGAAGACGCTAGGCAATTGATCAATGGTTGATTCGAGATGTCAAGATCATGTTTGTGAGTCAATAAATTGGAAAAATCTGCCACAGTTCATGTTTCCTCAAAAAGTAGTGATAATACTTGACATTTTTTTTTTTTTTTTTTGACTTCTAATTGAAAAATATGGTATGTATAGTAATTCTCTTCTCTTAAGCTTCATGAATGAAAAATGATCCACAATTTTCAATGATCCTACTTTTTGCAAATTCTGTTGTATAAAAATTAATAAATTTTTGACAATTTTCAGAGTTGCATCCCTAATTCATGTTGAAGTTATTGGTCATTTGGCATATGGTTTTACAGAGTGGTGATCTTTTAAGTTACTTCTCTTCTTCAATCTGCACATCCTTCATGTTTAATTTTGATATCTGTATTTGTTGAAAATCATAATGAAAAGCCCAATAAATCTGCCTCAATTATCGAGTCAACTGTATTTCTATAGGCACATGCTGCTTCAACAATGCTATTATTCAGCCAGAGTTGCACTTCAAATATCTTGAAACCTTACCTGAAGGGAATCTTAAGGAAATTGCTTGATCTCCTACAGGTATTCTGTTGCCTGAATAAATAACATCATTTGAACACATGATGCACTCACAAATGATTGTTGACATATGTGTGTTTATTTAAATGAGTATGTGTGTATCCATCTTCATTTGTTTTTAGAAGTTAATTTTATCTTCCTCTGATATCCTAGATGGGGACACAAGATGTACACATTTATTCATACATGCAAGTATACATATTTCTCTGCAAGCATTGGGCATATATGTGATTTTATATTTCATTTCTAATTTCTTTTGACTATAATATATATATATATATGAATACATGTATATATCTTGTATCTTCTCAATCCAGAAAGAAAAGCGGATGTTGAAGGATGGGGCTTTAACAACTATAGCCTCGATAGCTAATTCATCGATGGTGTGTAATGTAATTTGTTCTATAAATTATTCTAAGATATTTTGTGGAATTATGCTGTAGAATGCCTCTCTGACTTTTGTTATATTTATTTGTAGGAGTATTTTCGGGAGTACTATAGTAATGTCATGCCTTACCTGAAAGTTATATGGGAAAGTGGGTTAGACATACCTAATGATCACATACTTGTTGCCAAATCCGTGGAGTGTGTTACTATGATTGGAATGGCTGTTGGAAAGGAAATGTTCGGCAGCGATGCTGAAGAGGTGATGGATTGTTTAGTAATTCTGTGTGCTTCCAGTGTATTGTTGGGCATTGGAAATTTTGTATAAATTGTTTGGTTTAGTCCTCTATGCTCTTATATAATCTAAATTTTACGACAGACCCTTGTCAACTGAGATTGATTGAGTTGAGATACAATGCCTTAATAAAACCATAAGAAACAATAAAGATTAGAAGTAGACAAAACATAACTTAATTCAAGAAAGCCATACACCAGTTATATGCAGTTGGCTATAAGAATTTTTTAGTGCTATTCCACACTATTTAGGATATGTTTCTGTTAAATTTCTATTATGTGTAACTTTAATGTCTAAATCCTCGAATACACCCACTCACGTGTGACCTTCTTTTGGTCCAACACTTGTTCAATTTCAATTTTGAGGGTGACGGTGAGGTTGAACTAAAGACCTTGCCTGCTCTGATACCATGTTAGCAAACATCTTCTCCAAAAGCTTAAGCTATTAGAGAGAGTTTAACTTTAATATTTAAATCCTCAAACATAGTCATTTGGGTATTTCATCACTACCTCAAACCTGCCTCCTAATTTTTCGTATTATTATATGTGGCTTGTTGTTCTGCTGAGCATGCTTATATCATGAATGTGTCCCAAACTTCTTACAAATCCATGTCTTATGATGATATCAACCAAAAGATATTTTTCCAATGAAGTCTAAGTGCATTTTGATGAAGATTGTAATGTTTTGAAAACAAGCTGTTAAAACTATCTCTAAGATATTAAATAATTGCATCATAATTATCAATTGTTAATTCAAAAGATTGACTAGTTCAAACTTGATTTAGAGTCTTTCTGACTATTTTGATGTATCTGCTTTCTTCATGTCAACCTAATTCAGATATATGCTCTGAGCGTTCTTAGATGCCACATAAAATATTTTGTCTGACTATCTCAGAGCGATAACCTTATTGTTTGCTATGTCTTGGAAGGTTGTGAACATGCTTATCTTCTTACAAAAACATGATTCAGAGCCTGGTGATCCAATGAGAATTCATTTGTTACAAGTAAGTTGTAGTCTTTGAGTTTTTCTACAGTGACATGTACTAAACAGTCTTTATTGAGTGCCTTCTTTTATGTAATGAATGCTTAATTTGTTACAGGCATGGAGCAGACTCTGCAAATGCTTAGGGCAGGAGTTTCTTCCTTATCTGAGTGTTTCCATGCCTCATTTGCTTCAATCTGCTCAACTCAAGTGTTATAGACTTATTACCAATCCTGATAATAATGATGAATCAGATGATGAAAGGTTGGCCTTTGCTTAAGAAGTTCATTCATTGTCCTTTTTTATGCATGAAGTTAGTCAAATCTTAATATATTGTTCGTACATAAATGGAACCAATTTTGAGATGATTCAAGTCATGTTTACCAAGTCTAGAGTTTCAATTGAGCACCATTCCAAGAAACCCGCTTGTTATTGGCTAGAAAATTAACATACTTTCATCATTTCTGTGAGATCCTTTATTACCAATTTGGTACAAAGGAAGATATAATTCATTTGAAACAGTATGAAAAGACATTCTACTTACCATGAGAGTTCCACAAGTTACACACTTGCACCTGTACTGTTAAATATATACCTACTTCCATTTTTGTGATGTGGTATTTTTACAGATAAAAATCATTAATGCGATCCTGTTTTTATGAATTTAAGTTCACAACAGGTGCACTGGTAAGCCTTACCTTCCTTCTCACAACAAACCTTGTTGTGCCTGCTCTCAAAGTGGTGGCCTTGTCAATGTGACCTTATTACATGCACTGTTTGATGGTGTTTTTTTAGTTTTATACAAGTTTAACTCAAGTGATGGGTTGTTTCCTCTCAAAAGTGTAGCCTTGTGAATGTGGCCTCATTGCACCGCTTGATCGGGATTACATTTTATGCAAGTTCAACTCAAGTGACGGGTTGCTTGATTTCATAAAACAGTCAATACTCATATTTGTATTTAGCCAATCTCTTTCGGTGATGCAAAAGTTCTCTCTCCTGGTTTGATAAATAGAATTCCATGCTTGTCTTACATTAAACTGTTAATTTTCTTATTGTGAAGTGTATCATGAAAGATGCAGAAACTACAGATGAGGAAATATCCCTGATACCCATGCCCAGAATTATGAGATGAGAGGATCCTCTTTGGCAAAATGTAGTAGGAAGAAACCAACAACGTAGAACTTTCGTGGAGAGTCCTGATACTAAGAAAAATATATTGAGGAAAATATGAGTGACTGTTTCCAGAACTGCTACCAATTGTAGCCTTGGAGCTTTAGAATAGGGATTGTTGTACTTGTAATTTGGTTCTTATGTTTACTGTGATGTGTGGAATTGCATGGCAGAAATAGCTTTGTTGGTTGACAAGTTGTCCAATGAGATGATGATTCGAAACTGCAATGATCTTGGGGGAAATGCCCGATGGCATCTTGGTATAAAAACAAAGGAGAAATTCAAGGTTAGCCTAATGATATGGGGGAGACATTACATTGGAGAGGGTTGTTTGCCAGTGAGTAAAATGAGTAAATGTTCTATTCAAGGCAATCTGTTTGCTTTCATTCTAAAGAGCTCTTATGGGGAGGTCATTCTTGTATAACTTATCTTGCTTCTGTTTAAGGAAACCCAACTAGCATAATAAAATGCAATTTTTCCAAAATATTGCATCGATGCGGTTCATTTTAAAGATTAGTAGGATGCATTTTTTATGGACAATACAATTAGTACCTTGGTATTGCTTGTCCAATCTTGTCCAATTAAGGAGAATTGGATCAATGTTGCTCATTGTAATGGAGTTGGACGTTTGAAGTAAAAATATTTTACCAAAGGTTCTTATGTGCCCTTTGCAATCTATGATATCTGATTAAGATATTGTGCGTCTTTTGGGATATCTTTGTCATGCCAAGAAAAATAAGGATCTAATGAATTGTTACTTTTTAACCTTTCTGAACTTGGTTCCATAGGAGCAAGTCAGAAAATTTGAAAAATAGGGTGGCATTTGTGATTTTGTATGAGTCTTACATTTGTAGTAGATGGGGAAGGGAAAGGGGCACTGAATAGACATTTATATAATTGTTAAGAATTAAATTTAAAAAAGAAAAGAAAAGACAGAGGACCTAAATAAAGACTTCTGATGCTCAAACATAATTCTTTAGCTGAATTTAAATAGCTTAGATGAGGCAAGTCTAATTGATTTCCAGGCCATCTTTCATTTTTTCTTTCCTATCATATATTGGTTTCAATTATTCAATGAAAATCAAAATTTCATGATTAATGGCAATTAGCAGTGTAGTGAAAAAAGCAAGTTTAGATTAAGCTAATAATACCTCTGCTTGATTTATTGCTCAAAACTTCTTGGCTTTTGGCAAGGGATTTTACTTGTTGCAGTATGGAGGAAGTGGCTTTTGGGAGTGGAGGGTTTGGAATCAATATTAATGTCCTAGAGGAGAAGGCATTGGCTTGTAATGTGCTCTGTTGCTATGCTGCTGAGTTGAAAGGAGCATTACATTTGTGGATTGATGAGGTCAATTTGATGCATTATTTGTGAATTTTCCTGTTAAGGGCCTTTGGGCTGAACTTCAACTAATCTAGTTTAACTCACATCTGGTGCAGGTTGCAAAAACTTTAGTTCCACTTCTCAAATTTAGTTTCCATGACAAAGTTAGAACAGCTGCTGTTTCAGGTAATAGAGTGACACGTAGTAATTTCTAAACTACTTGTCAAAATATTTGAGCTTTTCCTGTTTTATTAATGTGATTTATTTATTCTTTGTTATTTAGCCATGCCACTGATCTTGCATTCAGTCATAGCCGCTATGAACAGGGGGCTTTATCTTCCAGGGTTTAAAGAATCCCCTATCAAAATATTATCTCGCACCATCATACAAGCTCTAGTTGAAGCTCTACATGAGGTAATCCTGTCATCAATGGCTATTGACAATTATCACTAAATATCTGGCTTGATTTTTTCATTAATGAATAAATGCTTCTTGTCTCTATAATGAAGTGCTCTGAACTACAATTGACTTGTAGGAATCCAGGACAAAAATTCGCACAAGAATTTTGGACTCATTGAATAAATGCATGCAGGTTTGTCATCTTTTGAACCTCAAAATATGAATACCTGTATAGAACCTTCTTTTCATACCTTGTAAAAATTTAATTAATGAATAAATAAAAGACATGTTCTTGGTCTCTTTTTATGAATTTATATGTTTGACGTGCATTAGAGTTGCTATCCATCTTCTCTTGCGTATCAATTACTTGGTGATGCTAACCAAATATTGAGAAGCTTATGACCTTTATTCTGAATATGAAATTGACTAGGATATTTGTGAATCTTGAGTCTCAAGTTATGGCTAGGAATATTAGTTTTCCTTTTTTATTTTTGGCAAGTATATTTGGTTTTCCTATTTAAATCAAAGCCAATTCTTATTTGTTTAGATATAGTAAGGAATATTGATTAAAGCCAAATGTTATTTTTACACCAGCTTGTTTATTTGTCTTAATACTTTTAACGAATTTCTGGCCGTAAAACAAGAAAAGGTCTAGCGAATCTCTACCAGTATCCTCTTCATCATTTTGCATTTGTCATTTGAATTCACAAGGAATTAGAGTTCAGCAAAAATGCGTGTGATGAGATGGATGTGTGGCAAGTGAAGAAAGGATAAAATTAGAAATGAACATATTTGTGAAATGGTTGAAGTAACAAGTATAGGAGATAGTATAAGAGAAAATAGATTAAGACGGGTTGACCATGTGCAGTAATGCCCAGTATCAGGTTAGGAGAAGTGACCAGGTCCTTTTTTAGGGTAACGCGAGAAGAAAGGGAAGATTATGATAGCATGTGATTTAACCGGGATTATGGCCTTAGATAGAGAGGAATGGTGAAACAAACTCATGTGGCCAACCCCTAATAGTTGGAAAAAAGGCTTTGTTAAGTTAAGTTGAGAATTGACAAGGAATACGAACTATTGTAAATAATAAAATATAAGTGAAGAGAGAAATGAAACAAAGAAGAACACAAAGAAATTACGTGGTTCAGCCAGTAGGGCCTACATCCACGTCCCAAAGGGCTACATCACTTTTATAATATTCTCTCTTAGTTTTTGCAAACAATGATCACCTCTATTTATAGGTGAAAGAATACAAACATTTGATACTTATGATATAGGAAAGATTCCTAAAATCACTCTCATGATTCCCTCGTATCAATATTCTATCAAGGAGTGATTTAAGGGCTTTAATCACTCCTATCATGATACTCTCCAACATAACATCTTCCAACAAGAATAGAATTCCTATCTGCATCATTTTTCTGAAATATCAGGCTAATACTTCAGCACTGCACTACAAAGCTTTTGGCTGGTGTCCCCTATAATAATACAGGGACGAAAGCAACCATTCACTTTTATCTGTCTTCTGTTTGTTTATTTGCTCTTCCTTACTACCCCTGCCTCCTCCTTTTTTCTTTATTAGCTGCATATAGTATTTGAATTTTCTTTTTGAGCTTGTTTTACTTCATGTGTGATGCATTCGTTTACCAAAAGCAATGCACTTATCTTACAAAAATGGTGTTCTCTTTTCACAGATTTCTGGATCTCTTCTGGAAAAAAGCCAGCTTACATACTTCACTGATGTAATAATAGAGGTTCTCACAGCTTGCTCATTTAAGATAACTGAAAGAGTCAAAGAAGAGGATGTAGATGCAGCACTGGAGTTGCTTGAAGAGGAAATTATAGAAGAAGAGAAAGCTTTTAACATGGTATGTATTCTATTCACTTTCTTGCATATGTTTTCTATTCTCTTCTTGGTGTACAATTGAATTTTCTTTATTGGATCCCATTGGTTATATAAGAACTTTGAACACTTTTTTGTTTCTTGTCGTATACTTTTATCTTGATTCAGATTGAAGATTGCTTGGGCACTTTAATCAAAACATCTAAAGCTTCATTCTTGACTCTTTCTAACAATCTTTTTCCATGTCTAAAACTCATGTGGGTGAGTTACTCAAGTCCTCTACTAGTAAGCTACAGTAATTATGCTATCTCTTTCTTGCATCTGAGACCTGATTTTCTGTAATTCCATGCTTCCAGTTGCCGTGGACAAAAAATAAACTAAAAACTGATGCTCAGCAAAGACTATGTTCATTCAAATGAATTGTTGCATGAAAGAGTGGAGATACAATTTCTTCTCATGCAATGTCTCTCTGAAATGTCCTTGAGATGCCAATTCTTTAATATCGTAATAAGTGATTAACCATAATTTGTTCATGCAAGGCATGAAATGATCTTTCTGGTGATATTGCTCTAGCCCATCATATTTTTGGAAGTTATTATTACTAAATCCTCTTCTAATTTGGCAGTATCTTATTATTTTATCATCTCCTTTCTAGTGATATTGTCCTCTTTTATCATTGGCATTCCTGTATTTTCTCTTCCTTTTTTTTCTTTTTTATTTTTTTTACTGCATTATGTGATCTGAAAAACTGAAGCGAAGTGTTATTTTTTTTACTTGGTAGTGTTTTGTTTTAATACTTTGTGGTACTTGATCTGGTGGGGTAAGCTTAGGTGAGTACTTGAATTCGTGTTAGATGGTAAAGTTGGGACAATTCACAAACTGACTTGGGCATTGCCTTGGTATTCAGTTACTTTTGAAGGATTGGTGTAAAAAGTAAAAAAGAAAAAACATTGATGAAGTATCTTTGTCATAGCTTTTCTGCTGTGTCAGATAATCCACATTGCTATGGATTGTGTTTCAGTGTTTTTATTTTTTTACATTAATTATATATCAAACACCATATTTTGAGAAAGACGCATAAGGCACACTTTCCTTTGGTTTGCATGTTACTAAAATGTGAAGTTCTTAATCTATTTCAATGATGACTGTTTTTTAATTAATCAGATGTCATGTGGACATATAACTTGAAGTCTTCCTTCCAAAAATCATTTCTTGTTCTCTTCATTGTTCAATGTTCTTGTCAGTTTTCTGTCATAGTTGGACTTTAGAGAGCAATGTGTTGGCAGCATATAATTGACGTTTGTAAATTATGTTTGTCAGAATCTTGATGCTGATATAAATGGACAAAAGAATAAAAAAGAATAAAGGGATGGAAGATAACAACAAAATGATTTGAGATAGCAAGGACAAGTAAAAAGAACATCATACTTCAGCAAAAGTTGTGGATCTTGATAGATTGCAATGACAGAACAGGCATTTTGTCCATGATACCAACCATTGTTTTCTGTTTTTTTTTCTTTTCTTTTCTTTTCTTTTTTGGAAGGTGATGTCAACCATTGTTGAGGTTATTAAAAATGATTTTAAAAAGTTAAATATAGTAGGTGAAATGGCATGTAATAGAAAAGCTTAGAGGGAGAAAATTAATGTGGCTGATCCCATTCATATGGGATTGAGGCAAAGATGATGATGATGCTGATGATGCTGTCAACCATTGTTGATGTTGATAATTTATTTAATTTTGATTTTTCTCCTAAAGCTTACAGTGACTTGCATCCTTTAATCTAAGCAATTGAAGTTTTCTTTGCAAACTAATTTTATTAATTTTGAAAAATAAATAAAAAAATAAAAATTGATTCTAAAACATTGATCACTATGAATACGTGCAATGATTTTCTCTTTCAAATCTTGCAGACATTTCTACTTTCAAATAGCTTGGTTTGCTTTTTCTTACTTGATGTTCGGTATGCAGGGTAATGATAGAACACTTAAAGAGAGAACGATTGCTTTACGGGTTCTTTATGATGTAGCAGAGCAATGCCGAGAAGAAGCTTTCAGGCAAACCTACTCACTTCAAATTACATTTCTGAAACACTGATTGCTATACATTGCTTAAATTTTCCTTGACACGATTTTTGGGAGCAGGTATTATGGGACATGTCTTCCTTTTCTAAATAAAGCTTGCAATGATGAGAACCCAGAAGTTCGACAGGTTTGACTCTTCTCAGGCCTGCAGTGGTTGTACATATTTTTAAGTTCTTGTCCATATCACTAAAGATAAACATATATTATTTCCAGGTAGTTGCTCGTGGAATCAGTATTTGTGCCGAATTTGGTGGATCTGTCTTTAAACCTCATGTTGATGGTAGTTTCAGGATTAAGTACTAGTTACTTTAGTTATTCTTTGCAGATACTGCTCATAAACTTTACCTTCTTATTGTCTTGCAGAGGCTCTTTCTAATCTCAAAGCAGTGATGGAGCATCCTAATGCCCTACAACCTGATAATATAATGACCTATGAAGTTGCTGTTTCTGCTTTTGGACAAATATGCCATCTCCATTGCGACAGCATTGGTTCATATGAGGTACTTCCATTTTTACTTTTCCCCTTAGTTATGGTGAAGAAGACTCGTGCTTGACCAAAGATACAAATTTATTTTGGAACTCCTAATTTCTTCTATTTGTAGCTCATCCTGTTAGATATTTTATTCATAAGCAAGGGAAATAAATCTTCCTTCTCACTCAACATGATGCTCTTTCACTCTTCTTCCCCAAATGATAAAAGTATTGAGTGTGTGTATGGGAAGGTTTACTCCTATCCTAGGTCTAGAACTGGGGGTTTGCTCTGAGAAATAGGTCTTTCTCATCCACTCATGAGGCTGCAGACACATCTGTGCAGATTATAGATGATAATTACATGAATGGTGGGGAATCTAACAATGCCCTGACAACATCTAGGAGGGGTAATTATTCCAGTCTTTACCAAGCTAATCCATATAGCATGGGGTAAATTATGTGAATCCTTCTCCTCTATTAGATTTACATAGTCACATCTTTAGTTAAATCCATACAATCATGTCCTCTCTTAGTGCCTGAAGTCCTGGACCCATTGCTTCCTCGTATCTTTTAAGGGCAATTTTCCCTAATATTTTCTTCAATTGGTACGTGGAGCATGAACACGGACATAAGATGGACATGGCATGCTGTAAACTCGGTGATAAGACCAAATTATCAAAAGAATAGGATATGGATGTGGTTAAGAATGAAAATGTATGTATACGTTGTATTAATATAATATTTAAATTTATGTGTATCTAAGTATGAATTAAAAATAATAACTTTTAGGGCAAACTTTGGACTTAAACAATTGTATATTCTCATTACACTTTTCTTACACCGGGAAAAGTTACATTTTAATATTCAAAGGCCTATTTGACTTACATCCCAACTATTTTAAAAGCATTGGCTATATGTTTGAAAAAAATAAAAATAAAAATAAAAAAATAAAAAATAAAAAATAAAACCTTACATTTAAGTTATGGGGCCGTCTAGGAAGTGTTTGACATGAATATGCAGTATTAAAAAGTACATGTATCTGAATGGATATGATGCGGCATGGCTTTCTCAGAGGATTATGCGTGCTTCAACAAATGTTATATTATAGTTTGTAATATTAATTGTGAATCCTGTATTCTCTTGAATGTAGATCAACCAAATAAGATGTGCATAATCTAAACTTTGATAATTATTAACTACAATTTGAAAGAATCCACGAGATTTTCTTTAATGGAATTAGACCTAGGATCCCAATCATTTTAGTTGAAATTCAATTATAAAGGTATGACTTTAATCATAAAAAAAAAAAAGTATTCAATGGTAAGGCTGCCCCATTGTGACTTGGAGGTCAAGGGATTGAAACACGAAAACAGCCTCTCCGCATGCAAAGGTAAGGCTGCATACATCTGACCCTCCCGAGACCCCACAACGGCAGGAGCCTCGAGCACTAGGTTTGCTCCCTTTTTACCAAGGCTAATTTATCAAATGCTTGTGCTTGTGCAAATCAGAAAATACTTGTGCATCACTATTGTCAGTTCTGGATATATGGAGAAATATAATGTGAATTTTATGGTTGATGCTGAGCTGAGCTGACTCTTCGTCTGTTCACAATTGCATTGAACACCAAGGAGCATAATGTTCATGGAGTTTTAATCGTGTAAGTATTTTTTAGTATTGCGTTATGATATTCAGCAAGGTAGGATCAAAGACTCGAAGTTGAATTTCCTTGCAAAACATTTTAATTTTTCTACTTATATTCATATCACAAATTTAATCTCAAAATTCCAAGTGAAGCTATCTTAAATTTCATTGAATAGAAACTAGTATTCTCTACAAGATGGTCCATATGTATTAATCTTAAAATGCTATTATTTGGATTAAGTTTTATCATAGCAGCAAGTAGTTTATAGTTTCCATCAGCCCCGAACAATGATTGGTGCAAGGGGGATTTGGAATCAAAATTGAAATGTCAGATACCACTGCTGCCTGAACAGAATTTATACTCCAGTTTCTTTTCTTTTTTTCTTTTTTTTAGAAAAAATGTTTTCTTGTCATTTTATTGCTAGACAATGTTGCTTGTTAAGGCATATACTGGGTTTTTTCGATGCGGTAAATCAAGACTGTGTTGCTCCCACAGATATTTTTTTGATCCATCATTTTCTGTTATTTATTCAGTTACGTTTTAAATCCATCACCTTCTGTTATTATTGTATGATTTTTCTCCTACTCATGCATGTTTTCTCCCACAAAATACATAAAATTTGCTGGTCCTATGACGCCGTGCATATCAACCTTTTGTGTGCCCTTCCATGAATTTTGATTGCGTATCATCTGTTTGACAGGTTGTCTCTTTTTGGCTAAGCCACTTGCCATTAAGAAATAATTTAAATGAGGCCAAGCTTGTGCATGATCAGCTCTGCTCAATGATCGAAACGTAAGGACTGTCTATTAAGCCATTAGTAAAAATAATGCAAAGAATTATCTATAAATCTCCCATCTCAATGTATGCTCTATTGTGTTTATTTTTCAGGTCTGAGGAAAATATTTTTGGTCCCGGAGATGTTAATCTTCCTAAGATCATTGCAGTGCTTTCAGAGGTAAATTCTCTATCGATGGTTTCTTGTTTTCTTGACCTTAATTGTAAAGCGGTTTAGAATTCAGTTTCTGGTTTCTCATTCTGTACTAGTGATGAGTGTTTATCTGCAATGCATATACATCCAGTCAGATGAAATCCCATTGTTCTTACATATTCATTAATATTTCAATTCATTGCTGAGATTTTCTCCTCTCCTCCCTAGGTTCTATGGGCAGGTGACAATTTAGCAACGGCACAGACTATCTACAGAATGATTAAACTACTGAAGCAATTTCAGCAGAAATTACAGCCCTCAACCTTGGCATCATTGCCTCTACATCACCAAAATCTGATTGAATCTATACTATAAACTTAGTTCCTTGAAACCTCTTATCAGTTGTCACCATTCTTTCCCTGAGTGTATCTTTCAGTCAACACAAACTATAAGCAAATTGTACATCACCTATTCTTTTCCACTGTATATATACATTTTTTTCCCTAACAGTTTTGAGTAAAAGCACCAGAGCTAATATTTGTGCTTGCAAAAAGCTATTGTATTCTTATGCTCATCACCACCTGTGTATTGTGTATTACAATTCAATGTGAATATATTGAGCTCAGTACATTCATTGCAAACTTGGCTCCTCCATAGGCATAACAAGCAGATGCTGTTACCATCCCTTAAAAAAAAAAAAAGCAGATTCTGTTCAATAACTTTAGGGTTTAAAAGTAAATGATTGCTCCCATTTTTGTAAATGAAATAGCAATGTAATTGAATCTCTCTTCTGCAGATGAAAAGAATATTAACCCTACAGATTTCAAGAGGTTACAAGTTGGTGCCATTTGCTTTTTGACAAGACCTCTAAATAAATACCAAAATGTGAAGCACAAGCAGGAAATGGTCAACTGAAACAAAATCAAGAAACATTACCCTCAAAACTGGAAGAATTTCTTTGCTTCATTTTATTTTATTTTCTTTGAATTTACAGAAGCAGAAGATTCAGACCTGAATCCAACAACTTTCAGTAGTATCCAAACTACTACAACCTTCTACCTATTCAAAGCTTAAATGGTAAAATCTTGTGTTATATAGGTGACAAGAGAACCAGAAAAACAGATATGCTAAATCATTACAGAGAATCATACAATAAACTGTAACCAATCACCAACACCTACATAAATCACACCACTCACAATATCATCATCATCATTGCTGTTTGCTTAACTAATGGTTTCAACCATCCAATGCAAAACTCTTGCAGAACCCAACGACAACTTCATGAGCAATTTCTATCATCGTAAGATAGATCAAATGAACATGAGCACCAAATGAACATGAGCAAAAACTTGTTAATAAATAAAACATAAAATCAAAACTACAGCCGGAAAGCTGAAGATCATCGAACAGGCTGCAAATATTACAAATAAAAAACCTTAACTAAAACTTTTTAATAAATAAAACATTTAACATTCAAAAGGCCAACCGTGAAGCTGAAGATCATCAAACAATCTGCAAATATTACAAATCTAAAACCTTTAGCCACCACACTTCACGGGAATATTGGTGTCTCTAAAAAGAAGTAAATGCAGTTCGCGTCATCCATAGATGTCAAAACCTTGCAATTGCTTTGTATTACAGTAACTGTCACAAGTCAATTAAACAGTATGTTAGCATCAACCTATTCGAGTTAAGAAAATGAGAAGCTGAACATGATCTGAAAGCTATAAATAACTAGTTATTGTCTGGGTGAAATAAAATATAGAGCTTCAAGTAAGAACCCCAGTAATAAGGAAAAAACTATAATATCAACAAAAGCAGCTTGTACAGCCAATGTCATTCAATTAAGAAGGTAAATCTTTTAATATAATGTCTAAATGCACAAATATGAAACTTTAAAAAGAGAGAGGAAAAACTTACCCACTAACTTTGGCAAAATTTTGCGACTGAAATGAACAGCATCAATTCATTCACTCATGCTACCATCCTCCATTTCCTCATCACTTAAATCAAGATCAGCAAGCAACTCATCCAAAGGCACAGAAGGGAGATCCTCACCATCAGTCACAGATGCCATCTCTGATGGCTGGTATTCTTTATTACGGTATAACGAGATATTGAACCTCATCTCAGGGTTCTCCTCCAAGTCTCTCAAGAATTGTTCATACTCCAAGTTCTTCTTCTCTTCTTCAGCTCGGGCTTTAGCAGTGTCATCAATATCCATGTTAAGAGATCTGAGTTTCCATGCGCGAGGCTTCCCACGCTTTCTCTGGCGCTTCTCTTCGTAGCTCTTTTTTATTAATATTACTTCCGGGATGACAAGGCCTTTGTACTTGTCCAGTTCCATGTCATTACTGTTAGCCCTATATAAGTCATAACCAAGAGCATAATCCCCTGGGTTTAAAAGATGGCCCAGATGTGTTCTTATGGAGAAAATTGTGTCATTCTTCCCGAAGTCCGATACGCGAGCTACCTGGGCATCAGCCAAAACATACTTTGAACCACCAACATTAACTTCTTTACGACCAACATCCACATCCAATACTACATATTCCACAAGCTGCCTACTAGAAAGTAATGACTTAAAAGATGTCCTCCAATACTGGTCAGCATCCAAAAAACAATGCTTCAGAGTTAATGGATCCAGTAAAGCTATGTTGTTGCTCACTTTTGTACAAATCACAAGAGGACCAAGACTTCCCAAACTAACGGCTACTTTAGGAGGGAGACATATCAAATCCTCACGGCAAATTGGGCAGATTTCAACAGAGAAAGTGTACTTATAATTGTAATTATTGCTCTTGGAATCATGGGACACAAGTTGTTTATCATGACGACTCTTAATTGGAGCAACTTTACCCAAGAACTCCACAAACTTCACACCATGACTCCGATTGGCAAAAAAGAAATCAATTCCCTGATCCATCTGTTTAATTCTTATGGCACGGACTGCTGCATCATGTCTAAGAATAAGCTGCTCTAAATAGAAGAAAGTTCGCCTGTGAGAAACATGCTGACGAAGTTGCACTGCAGCCACCCACTGGTCAGGGTTAGCCTGAACCCTAGAACAAGATTCACACATTTGATCTTGGACAACATACTCAACAGTATAAGCTTGTTCAAGTATTGCTCCATTAAGAACTTCTTTCTGGACTCTCAGCTTGACCTTGATTCGCTTGGAGTGAGGCTCGGTCCAAATAAATTCAGCATGTACCAACCTAACTTTATTTAAACTCTTCAGCCTCTTCACACAAAATGTCAGGAGCTCCTTTGATTCTAGTTGGGCCTTAATCCAAGTCCTCGGTGGCTGCAGATACAAATCACACTCGGGGCAATGTACGATAATGACATGCTTTTGTAAACCCTCGGTAATGTCTACTTCAGAACGCAAGCACTTCACGCACATATTTGCAGCATTTGGTACCATTGGAATACCACATTTGCAACACAATATACTAGCAACAGTATGATTTACCACAAACATACCTGTTTCCTCAGCCATGCCTGCTAACAAAACAAGAAAATGAAGAATAAGAGTAGAAAGAATTTTAAAAAAAAAAAAAAATTGTAACTCCACAAAGTAAGAATGCAGTTCGATGGAATTTAGGTATTTAGGTAATAACGCATGAAAATTAGGAACCTCGGCTTTTAATATCTTAAACTACAGATTGATTTAACATCTAATCTCCACACTTGCATCCAATATCCTTAAAGTAATGAAGGGAATTAGAAAGAAGGAATTTGAAGTTAACTTAAATCAAAATAAAATGAAAATTTTAACCAACGAGCCAGTGGCATCAGCCTCTTACTTCCCAAAGAGAGGTCAGAGGTTCAAGTCTCAGAAGAGACATGTACGTGTGAGTAACAACTAGGGAAAAAAAAAATGAAAATTTTAAGTCATTACTCCTAGGTACGACATTACAATGATTATACAAATGTTGAGCTGTGTCAGTCTTCAGATATTCTTTTGTGTCGTTTCTCTTTTCCTTCCATTTTTACACTGTTGAGCTGTAGGCCAATTACTTCAGCTTTATACGACCACGACACTAGTTATTAGAAGAATATCATGCAATTCCTATTCCTTACTAAAACAGAAGTAGTAGAATCGGTTTATCATTTCATTCCACAGATTCTCAAACTTCTAATTTTATCTCATTAATATAGGTTTACCAAACATATCAATCAATTTAATATACTAAAAGAACGCAAGATCAAGGAGCATCAGAGTCAGAAAGAGAAAAGTTGATTTTTTTTAATTAGATAAGTTGAGCCGTATTTTGGGACCTCCACCAATACCACCACCATCACCACCACCTCCCAATCACACAGAAACAATAATCACCATTTATTAAGGGTACGCATCACATAATATTATGAATCCGAACCATAATTTGCTAGTAACATAATATCATATACTTAGAAATTTACATCCAATAGGACTTGTGAAAGCACTCAACTCAGAAGTTAGTTGCAGGACAAAAGAAGCAGATGAAAATGGCTACTCATTTCACTGGTTCGTATTGTTGAAATACTCATTAGTCATAATACCTCTGCTGCTTCACAAAGCAAAGGTATTGCTTTGGACTCTATATTATTTATGTAATTATAATTATATACTATACTCTACAATGAGAATCACGATAGGGGTAGTGATTTTATAATATAAACTAGTCGAAATATCCCTGCAAAGTGACAATTACCCATATAATCACCAAAACGAACCAATAACAAGCCTAAAGAAATTTAATATGCAAAAGCCTAATTGAACATATTAGCTAAGAAAAACAATCTTCCATCACCATCTGTTTGGTTTCTGAGAAAATATAGGGGAAAAGATCATGGATTTGAACTTTTACGTTGTTAGAATCGGGATTCAAGGTAGAATCGTTTTGCGCTCCGTAGAATCGGATCGTGAATCGTAAGATTCTACCAACTTGTTACAAAACAATTCAAACTAACTTCTTCCGCATAATATGTGTAAAATATAGAAAGAATAAGGCCAAAACACAAAATAAATTGAATACAATTGTTAATCCAAAGTCGGAATATAATACAAAACAGAAATCAGAATGGAAAAATAATTCCAACCAAAATCACTACTCCACTGCACCAAAACTTCAACTTATTTAGAAGCTCCAGCTTTACAGAATCCAATTTGGATGAGTGTCAATAATTTAGAATTAGACTAAAGACACAAAAGTAAATAAGAATGAGAGGAAAACATATCATAGACCCATGAAGACTCCACTGATCTCTATTTTTTTTTTTTTTTCCTGAAATTATCTCACTGTTCTTTTACAATACATGGGGAGTAACATACTAACATCCCAACCCCATGGTCAAGTTCAAGATAGAGTGCTCAATATGATTGCGGACTTCTATCAAACACCTAGGGTGCTACCCAATTAAATAAATAAATAAAGTTGAGAAAAGTTTCGAAGTTCAAAACTTCAAACACAGTAAGACACCTTGTTTAAACTTCAGAGTTCAGAAAGATGTGATGAGGAAGCAAGAAGGTGTCGAAGGCTTTTGCGAGGTCGAATGGTCGAAGAATTGAAGCTGTTGGAGACTCTGGACTTTCGCAAAGAGAAGTTGTCTGCCCAAACACGAAGTCTGTTGTGTGCTTTGTTTATTTATTTATTATTATTTTTTTTTCCATCTTCATATGATTTCTTATTTTCTAGCCCAACCCTCAAAAGAAGGAACCAACCCAAAAAAAAGACTCAAACAAGCAATTTAGTAGAATCGGTGGAATCGACGACCCAAAATCGATTTTGGGGCTGGAGTCGTAGAATCGACGACCCAAAATCAAGATTTTAACAATCATCAAAGCCCTCACCTCAACTAAATCAACAAAATCATGAGAAAAAAAACGTCTATTTTATTCTCTTTTCCTATGTTATTTTCTCAGCAGCCAAATGGTGCTCTATCTAAACAGATGAATTATAATGGCGGCTATTAGGGTTTACCTGATAGGAGACGACACCTGATTATTGCTAGAGAGAGAAAATGATCACGAATCCTCAGACAGCAGAGGCGAGCTTGTTGTTCGAGAGAGATTTCTCTGAACAACGATATTGTTGTATATCTATATATATTTTTCTATACCTAAGCCCTAAAATGGGAAAATGGACCCACTTTAGATACTTTTCTTTTTTAGAATGGGCTTCAAAGCCCAATCAGCCCACCGATTGGGTAATTAGCCCAAAGTCTATCCAATCTTTCATCTTGACTTTTAGAGCCCAAAGTGTAAAATACTGGCTAACGGTAAAAGCTTCAACAAGTTGGGCCAGAGAACATTAATACAATTTTTTTTTGTTTTTTCTTTCAGTCCACGAGCACTTTATAATTCACCACTGGCACATGTATCGAGCATCTCTTACAGCGCTTTATAATTTACCACCGGTTAATCCAATTTAATAGACAAAACAATCTCGAAATAAAAGACTTTCTGAAAACAATGCTGCTTCAGTTATTTGGGGAACAAAGCCCATTCAGTTACATCCATTTTTACTCTACTCACTAGTTTGAGGCTTACGGTCAAAATATTCTGTACTTCGACCTTTACGAAATTAAAGTATTTTAAAATATATATATATTATACAACAATTACAACCACTTAGTTTTTAAAAAATTATTTAAATTCCACTCTATGAATATCATATTTTCACAAATGTATTAAAAAATAATAATAATAAACCAAACACGCTCTTAAAAAGACAAATTACTACGACATACAGTGTGTATTGTTACAGTTTGAAAATGTACTAAATTGACGACTTTTGTAGACGAGTTTGAAAACTGCATTCACAAACGCGGTATTACGTGTACGGAACACTGGCTTTCGTCCAAAGAATGAACAACCCTTCAATTGTATACAAATATATAATATATATATATATATTTATATACATTCATACAAATGCGTGTGCGCGCCTATATATAGAGAGAGACTATAGTTGTAGCCTCTTGATACTGTTGGTAAACTATCTTTTCTCTCTCTCTCTCTCTTAGTCTAGTACGGGTATTATGTAAGGGTAAGTGTAAAAAACACTCCTATATTATTTTTTTTAAATGTGCAAATAACATCCTTATTGTTCAAAATTGACCCCACTCTTTTTGTCTCTCTCTATTTTAGTCTACATGTACGTATATTATGTAGGGGTAAGTGCAAAAAATACCCCTATATTTTTTAAAATGGGCAAATTTATATTTTGACAAGTGTTATATTATCAAAATATTACATTTTAACAATTCTCCTTCAACGATACATTTCACGCAAAATACTATTTTTTAACATAACCACTATTCTTTTTTAACTACCATTCCCACCATTCATATTTGCATCAGTAATAATAATATTAGGCATATTCCAAGTCAAGTTTTAAACATTAGAAAGAAACTAAAATTAAACCCAATTAAAAAGAAGTACAAATCTAAAATATCTGGTCAAAAAAGGACAAAAAAAAAACAAATTTTTTATAATTTTTTTACCACTATTTGTGAATTAATTTTTTTATATAATTTTTTTTTTCAAAAATTTATATATAATATACATATAGAGATGCGAGTGGGTGATGACGGGTGAGAAACGGCACCGTTTTGGGAAATGAGAGACTTGCCAAAAAAATTTGGCAGCTGCCATATAAGTGAAGAAATTTGAAAATCTCAAATTTTGAGAGCTCAAATAAGAGCCCATTAGAGAGGCTCTTTTTTACCCAACTCTCATATTTTGAGTTTGAGAGGCCCAAATGAGAGAGTATTGGAATTGCTCTAACCGGGCTATAGCAGCTCCACCTTTCATCGTTTCACTTTCTAAAACTACTCTAGTCTTGAACTTATTTATTTATTTTATTTTTAAACGGTCTCACTTTAAGTTATGAATGGAACTCTCTCTCTCTCGAACATTTTTTCTCGTCTCTCTCTAATCCTTCAGCCGTCGCCTTTTGTTCTCTCTCTTCTGTTTGCTCCCCACTCCCTCTCATGAGAGTGGAGAGGTGAGTGGGGAGGTGCCGATCCTTGCCACTCACCGCTTAATGAACTCGGCGTGTTGTAATAAATTTGGTCGGTGGATGGTTTCTAGCCGTTTGATGTTGTTTTGCTAGAATTGCTCCTGTTTGGCTAGTTTTTTGACTCGACAGGATAGATCTGTTATTTTGCCTCCAACTAAATTTATGACCTATGTCGAGTTTTGTTATTCCCGCCTTCTTGTGCGGGGTTGGGTGGTTTTTCTCCCAGTCAGCGACGCCTTATGGATGCAGTCTTGGAGTTGTTGCCTTGATGATGGCTTGACCTTTAGGTCACTCCCGTTATTGCTCTTCTCCTCTTGGTGGTTTCATTTTGCCTCAGCGTTTGTAGATGCTGTAAGGCTGTTTTTCTTATTGCCAGGTTAAAAAATAATAATAAATAAATAAATAAATAAATTATGAATGACCATATAGTTATTTCACTTTGAAAAATAAGCCTAACTAATAGGTGTGAATATTATTTTCCATTTCTAATTCTAATGTAAAGTATACCCTAATGGGCAAGAGTAATTAATTCCTAACATCCATAATTACCCTCATATCACTTGTATCACGTAACTAGTAGGCTGCAAATATTACAAATAAAAAACCTTTAACTAAAACTTTTTAATAAATAAAACATTTAACATTCAAAAGGTCAACCGTGCTACCATTCATTCACTCATGCTACCATCCTCCATTTCCTCATCACTTAAATCAAGATCAGCAAGCAACTCATCCAAAGGCACAGAAGGGAGATCCTCACCATCAGTCACAGATGCCATCTCTGATGGCTGGTATACTCTATTATGGTATAACGAGATATTGAACCTCAACTCAGGGTTCTCCTCTAAGTCTCTCAAGAATTGTTCATACTCCAAGTTCTTCTCTTCTTCAGCTCGGGCTTTAGCAGTGTCATCAATATCCATGTTAAGAGATCTGAGTTTCCATGCGCGAGGCTTCCCACGCTTTCTCTGGCGCTTCTCTTCGTAGCTCTTTTTTATTAATATTACTTCCGGGATGACAAGGCCTTTGTACTTGTCCAGTTCCATGTCATTAGTGTTAGCCCTATATAAGTCATAACCAAGAGCATAATCCCCTGGGTTTAAAAGATGGCCCAGATGTGTTCTTATGGAGAAAATTGTGTCATTCTTCCCGAAGTCCGATACGCGAGCTACCTGGGCATCAGCCAAAACATACTTTGAACCACCAACATTAACTTCTTTAAGACCAACATCCACATCCAATACAACATATTCCACAAGCTGCCTACTAGAAAGTAATGACTTAAAAGATGTTCTCCAATACAGGTCAGCATTCAAAAAACAATGCTTCAGAGTGAATGGATCCAGTAAAGCTATGTTGTTGCTCACTTTTGTACAAATCACGAGAGGACCAAGACTTCCCAAACTAACGGCTACTTTAGGAGGGAGACATATCAAATCCTCACGGCAAATTGGGCAGATTTCAACAGAGAAAGTGAACTTATAATTGTAATTATTGCTCTTGGAATCATGGGACACAAGTTGTTTATCATGACGACTCCAAATTGGAGCAACTTTACCCAAGAACTTCACAAACTTCTCACCATGACTCTGATTCGCAAAAAAGAAATCAATTCCCTGATCCATCTGTTTAATTCTTATGGCACGGACTGCTGCATCATGTCTAAGAATAAGCTGCTCCAAATAGAAGAAAGTTCGCCTGTGAGAAACATGCTGACGAAGTTGCACTGCAGCCACCCACTGGTCAGGGTTGGCCTGAACCCTAGAACAAGATTCACACATTTGATCTTGGACAACATACTCAACAGTATAAGCTTGTTCAAGTATTGCTCCATTAAGAACTTCTTTCTGGACTCTCAGCTTGACCTTGATTCGCTTGGAGTGAGGCTCGGTCCAAATAAATTCAGCATGTACCAACCTAACTTTATTTAAACTCTTCAGCCTCTTCACACAAAACGTCAGGAGCTCCTTTGATTCTAGTTGGGCCTTAATCCAAGTCCTCGGTTGCTGCAGATACAAATCACACTCCGGGCAATGTACGATATCAACATGCTTTTGTAAACCCTCAGTAATGTCTACTTCAGAACGCAAGCACTTCACGCACATATTTGGAGCATTTGGTACCATTGGAATACCACATTTGCAACACAATATACTAGCAACAGTATGATTTACCACAAACATACCTGTTTCCACAGCCATGCCTGCTAACAAAACAAGAAAATGAAGAATAAGAGTAGAAATAATTTTAAAATAAATAAATTGTAACTCCACAAAGTAGGAATACAGTTTGATGAAATTTAGGTAATAAAGCATGAAAATCAGGAACCTCGGCTTTTAATATCTTAAACTACAGATTGATTAAACATCTAATCTCCACGCTTGCATCCAATATCCTTAAAGTAATGAAGGGAATTAGAAAGAAGGAATTTAAAGTTAACTTATATCAAAATAAAATGAAAATTTTAAGTCATTACTCCTAGATACGACTTTACAATGATTATACAAATGTTAGCTGTGTCAGTCTTCAGATAGTCTTTTGTGTCTTTTCTCTTTTCCTTCCATTTTTACACTGTTGAGCTGTAGGCCAATTGCTTCAGCTTTATATGACCACGACACTCGTTCTTAGAAGAATATCATGCAATTCCTATTCCTTACTTAAACAGAAGTATTAGAATCGGTTTATCATTTCATTCCACAGATTCTCAAACTTCTAATTTTATCCCATTATTATAGTTTTACCAAGCATATCAATCAATTTAATATGCTAAAAGAACACAAGATCAAGAAGAAAAAGTTGATTTTTTTTAATTAGCCAAGTTGAGCCATATATTGGGACCTCCACCAATACCACCACCACCACCTCCCAATCACACAGAAACAATAATCACCATTTATTAAGGGTACGCATCACATAATATTATGAACCTGAACTGTAATTTGCTATTAACATAATATCATATACTTAGAAATTTACATCCAATAGGACTTGTGAAAGCACTCAACTCAGAACTTAGTTGCAGTACAAAAGAAGCAGATGAAAATGGCTACTCATTTCACTGGTTTGTATTGTTGCCGTACTCATTAGTCATAATACCTCTGCTGCTTTGCAAAGCAAAGGTATTGCTTTGGACTCTATATTATTAAATAATAAATATTCAATAATATATGTAATTATAATTATATACAATACTCTACAATGAGAATCACGATAGGGGTAGGGCCAGCCCTAAGATTGAAAAAATCTTGAGAGGCCCTTTATACATAATGTTTCACACGCTAAAAAAAAAATATTATAAAAGTGCGAATTTTTCATTAAAGTAAATTTTTATTTTTATTATTATTATTATTTTTTTTTATAAGTAAAATTTTCATTAAATTAAATGTTATCGTCTTGCATTTTGAGTCGCAAAATAATCAATTAAAGTGCTCCAATATATATTTTTCAATAGATAAGATAGTCAATCCATTCAATCTCTCTTGTGTCATCGTAGACCGCAAGTAAGATTTGATTAACTTCAACTTTGAAAAGCTTTTAGCAACTCTTGGAGGACCTCTTTCAACTAATAAATCTCTCAATTTTTTATCAATCTTTCTCCAATTTGCTAGATCATTAATGTTCAAGGGAAGATTATCATTCTCTTTCACGTGTTCTTCATTACCAAATCTTCAAGGTCATTCACATTTTCTTCATTCATTAAATCTCCATGTTCATTAAGATTTTCTTCATTCCTATGTTCTCCATTCACCAAATCTTCAACTAAACTCTCTATTTGTGTATTGGTCCAAAAATCTTATGAATAACGCCTTTTTTAAATTGATTTTTCTCTCCCTTCCCCCCACCCCCCCCCCCCCCCCCCCCCCCTCCCCCTTTTCATGCCCAGATTCAAATTTTCTTGTAGACATAATTGACAAAAATAAATAAAAAATAAAAAAACAGAAATAGAAGTTATAAAAATAAAAAAAATATATTTGTTTTGCTGAAATAAAATATAGATATTACCTCAATGCAAAGCAAAAAAAGTGGTTCATAATTGTTTGACAAAAATCAACAATGTTTGATTCTTCTCATATTTTCCTTAACCTAATTAATCAGAAAAAAGAATGGAGGTTTTAGTCTGATTCTCCATGTTGATTCTCTTTAAATTTTTAGTTTTTTTTTTTTTATTTTTTATTTTTATCACATAAGCAATAATTGACCGCAAATATAAATATAAAAAAAAAAACACTTTGTAATTTTCCTTATTGTTCATTGTTCTTATGATTTTATCGTACTATATATAATATCTATATACTTGGAACACAACCATTTATACTTGGACATATAACTATATAAAGAGCAATCCTAGCAAGGCTGAGATCTTCATAATCAGAAAAAGAATGGAGGTTTTAGTCTGTACGGCTATGAAGCACGGACACTCCTCCCAGGAGTCCCGTACCAGTGTCGGACACTTTTCGGACACCGACACCCGTGTCCGAGGCTCGGACATGTGTCCGACACTTCTTTGAAGTGTCCAGAAATTATTTTTTATTGGACACGAGGTGAACAAAGCTCGGACACACGGGGGGACACGGCGGGGTATATTTTATAATTTTTTTTAAAGATAAATGGGTACCTAATGTAATTTACTAATTTTAGAAGTTAAAAGTAAAATTTTGAAAAAATAAATACATAGATAAAATTTATTTGGGCTCTAAAATTCTAAATACGTAGATATATATCTGTTCTGTGCCCTAGACCCAAAATTCCCAAATCCTCCATTCCTTCGCCGATTGCCCAAGGCGATTCCTCTCCTCGGATGCAACTACGAGCTCAGCGACAGCAACTCTCCATCAGATTTTTCGTGTCTCCGGTGTCTACTACGGCGACTCCACCAAGTAGGTTTCTTTTCTCTCACTTCCTCTCTCCTCTTCTTCAATTAGATCTATGTACGTACATCAACAAGACATTTTTTTTTTTTAAGTTACATGTACTGATGTACAAGACTTTGTGAAAGATGAGCAATTTACCCAAAAAATAAATAAATAAATCAAAAAGAAAAGAAAAAAAAGAGCCTTATTATTCAGTACGTTGACATCTCCCAGATTATAATGTTATAGATATGCTATGTTATATGTTGAAGAATAATAAAATCAGGGAACATATTCCAACTCAACGAGGGAGATGGAAATGACAATGAGTTCCTAGAAGATCCAACTCAATGAAGGGGATTAGAGAGTTCCTTTTCTTTTTTGGGCTCACTGTTATCAACTAATCACTGTTCAGTTTTTTTTTTTTTTTTTTTTTTGATAAGTAAACTGTTCAGTTATTATTCTTATGAATCTTATGTTATCACTGGCCAATGATGAAAGATGCATATATTGTAGATTTTTGGTTATTGAACTTATGACTTTTAGGTGATAAATTATTTGCTTGGTTCTTAAATGCTTAGATGATAAATTGTGGATTTTGAATATATATATATATATAATTGGTGCTTCATAGCTGTACGGAAGATTGAATTCTTGATTATCCAATTTATCCAGCCTTTTTTGTTCTAAGCCTCTAAGGTAAGGGGGAAATCTCCTATTTCAAGCGTCCCATAAATATTCAAAATTCTATAATCAACCAGACCAATGAAATTAGATTCAAATTGATCAAAAAGGAGATAAAGGATTCCATAAACACACGGGATAAAAAAAAAAAAAAAAAAAAAAAGATCAATTTCAGATTGGAAAAAGCCAAAAAGGAACCGAGTACCATAAATTGGATGAGTTACTTACTTGTCATCCTTTCGGCGCAGCTCCTGATGAAAGTGAAGCTAATCTCCCAAACACAGACCCAAATCTTCTCCTTCGACTTCGAGCCTTCGAGGAGTGACAGCCGACAGGAGCCCTAGAACACAGATCGTTTTTTCTTTTTCTTTTTCTTTTTTTTTTTTTTTTTTTGAATCGAAAAACATAAAAATGGGTAAGAAAAACATAAAAATGGGTAAAAAATCTTCCATCACCATCTGTTTGGTTTCTGAGAAAATATAGAGGAAAAGATCATGAATTTGAACTTTTCCCTATCTGGGGCTTGACGAGACAAAGCCCTCACCTCAACTAACTCAACAAAATCATGAAAAAAAAAAAAAAAAAAAAAAAAAAGACATCTATTTTATTCTCTTTTTCTCAGTTATTTTCTCAACAGCCAAATGGTGCTCCTGTGTAAACAGATGAATTATAATAGTGGCTATTAGGGATTACCTGATAGGAGAAGACACTGATAATTGCTATAGAGAGAGAATGATCACGAGTTGTATATCTATATATAGTTTTCTATACCTAAGCCCTAAAATGGGAAAATGGACCCACTTTAGATACTTTTCTTTATTAGAATGGGCTTCAAAGCGATTGGGTAATAAGCCCAAAGTCTTTCATCTCGACTTCTCGAGCCCAAAGTGTAAAATACAGGCTAACGGTAAAAGCTTCAACAAGTTGGGCCGGAGAACATTAATACAATTTTTTTTTTGTCTTTCGGTCCACAATGGTGGTGTCGCTTCATTATTCATCACCGACACATGCACCGGGGGCATTTCTTACTGCACTTTATAATTCACCAGTGAACATATGCAGCACCCGTTCATATATTATGTACTTCTACCTTTACGAAATTAAAGTATTTTAAAAAATATATTATACAACAATAACAACCACTAAGTTTTTAAAAAATTATTTAAAGTCGGCTCTATGAATATCATATTTTCACAAATGTATTAAAAAAAAAAAAAAGTAAACCAAACACGCTCATAATTTTCAAATTTCAATTTGGCAAATTGCACTAGGCGATTATCCTTAAAAATTACTTATAAATTACTGCATGCATGCTAATAAAAAGATGGGTAAAGTACAACCACACCTCTTGAGGTTTAGCAAAAAAACACCCAGAGGAAACTTAGTTGTTTTTTGGATAAAGACACTCCCTGACGTTTCAAAAATAGATAAAGACACCACTTTACATGAAAATTGACCAAATTACCCTTTGACTGTTTAAGAGACTTTTTTAATTTTACAATTTAATAAATTGAACCAATCTACCCTCATAAACAATTTATGCATAAAAATAAAACTTTATATTGTTTTTTTTTTTTTTTTTTGTTATTTACTTTATAAATGTCCCAACTTCTTAAAAATGTAAACGTCTAAATTAATTTTTTGATCCAATACATATATTTCAAATAAATTATATTTTGTTATTACTTCTTTTCTTTTTCTTTTTTATTTTTAAATTAAGATGCTTAATTCTTTTATCTAAAGAAATTAAACCAATCTTTTTTCCTTAAAAATAAAAAAATATGGTACCTGTATAACTTTGTGCATCTTAAATTATATATCAAATATTAGGCATTTCCAAACATAAAAATAAAAAATAAAAAAAAAAAAAAACAAAGGCAAGCATAAAGTTAAGATGCATATCAAGTTATACTGGTATCTATTTTCTTTTATGTTGAGAAATGCATAATATTTGATATATAATTTAAAATGCATAAAATTACACTGGTACTATATTTTTTATTTTTAAAGAAAAGAGATTAGTTTAAAATTTTAAAATGAAAGAATTAAACATCTTAATTTAAAAATAAAAAATAAAAAATAAAAAGAAAAGAAGTAATAACAAAATATAATTTATTTGAAATATATGTATTCAATCAAAAAATCATTTTAGACGTTTACATTTTTAAGAAGTTAGGACATTTATAATTTGTTCACTTTTTTTTTTTTTTATACATAAATTGTTCATGAGAGTAGATTAATTTAATTTATTAAATTATAAAATTAAAAAAGTCTTATAAAAGGTCAAAGAGTAATTTAGTCAATTTTTCATGTAAAGAGGTGTCTTTCTCTATTTTTAAATTTTAAGGGAGTATTTTTGTCCAAAAAATAAGTAAATTTTCTTTAAGTATTTTTTTACTAAATTTTAGCGAACGTGACTGTACTTTGCCCTAAAAAATAAACCAATTTTGAAGAATAAAAAGACAAATTACTACGACATACACTCTGTATTTTTACAGTTTGAAAATGTACTACTAAATTGACGACCTTGGAAGACGAGTTTGAAAACTGCATTCACAAACGTGGTATTACGTGTACGGAACACAGGCTTTGGTCCAAAGAATGAACAATCCTTCGATTGTATACACATATATATTCATACAAATGCGTGTGCATAAATATATATATATAGAGAGAGAGAGAGATAGAGAGAGACGACTATAGTTGTAGCCTCCTAATACTATTGGCACGATTCGCGCGCTTTAAATGCGGAGTAGACAATACAGTCAGCGACTTTGGCGAAGGACAATGTCAGTGTCTACTACCCACTATGCCCTTGTACCAAGCAAAGATGTGAAAGCTCATTCACATTCACACATCCATGCACACAATTGTCCCAATCCTCTCTCTCCCTGTACTCTCCCTCAACTCCACACGAGTGAATCACCTAATCACACACGTGTGAGTAATATGAATTGTCGTTTTAGAGGATCCGAATTCATGGTTGGTTGACAGATTTACTAATTTTTTATTTTTTTTAACGGACAAAAAATACAATCACACACCAACTTTTATCTTCATAGAAACTTGAAATATGAATCTTTTATTTTGAAATAATAAAATGTGAGAAAACATCACCAATGCCACATACTTAGCCAATGAAACTAGGTAAATAATGTAAATCCGAAATGGCCAATAAATATAATTACATAACATTATTTTTTATTAAGTTGTCCATCACACAAATTATAAATTATTATCATCAATTCATCATCATCAGTTTGATTTTTTTTTTTCTTCATAAAAAACACATTCACACACTCCTTCGTTTCTTTCACGGAGACTTAAACTCTCCCTTGGATCCGGATGGAAATTGTAATGGGTATATATAGGTTGGGTGTTAACTCAACCTAATAGCTTAAATTTTTTAGTTGAATCGCGAAGCATCCGATCCGTTACATTTGGTAATAGAGCCTGACCTAGTCCGAAGGTGTCCGGATCTTCACCCCGGGTAGGCAAGGTGACCCGACCGCAACGAGGGCGTTACAAGTTCGAGTGGGAAAGAATATTACAAGTGAGATTTGTCCCACATCATATCCGAATGTGAATTGTAATGTGTATGTAAATTATAATGGGTATATATGACGTCCAAGTCTTCACACCGGATAGACAGGGAGACCAGACCGCAACGAGGACGTTGCGAGTTCAAGTGGGGGAGAATGTTACAAATGAGATTTGTCCCACATCAGATTCGAGTGTGAATTGTAATGGGTATATATGGGTTGGGTGCTAGCTCTACCCAATAGTTTAAGCTTTTGGGTTGAATTAAAAGCACCTAACCCGTTACAGTTGGTAGCAAAATTAAACCTAATCCAGAGGGGTAGATAGGGTGGCCCAACTGCAATGAGAGCGTTGTGAGTTCGAGTGGAAGAAAATGTTACAAGTACGTGGGATTTGTCCACATTAGATCCGAATGAAAATTGTATTGAGAATATACCGTTACAATAAATCACTTAACCCTGATACCTCATGTCTAAGATTTGACTTAATGCAAATAATTCCTTAAAAGGAAATGTGAAAAACCAAGTAGGAAAAAAATTTGAATAGTATTATATTGAAATGTTATCAATTTTAAAATAATCTTCTCCATTATTTTATGCACATGGTTGTGATTGCAATCCACTTCACTTTTCTCCTTAGAAATTAAAAGAATGAGACGGAAACAAAAAAAAAAAAAACAAAAAAAAGGCTTTCAATGCATTCTCAAGTCTCCCTTTAAAAGGTTTTCACTTTTAAAATAATTTTCTCCATTATTTTCCAGAGAGGCTTGAGGTAGCAATTGTTCGTAACCAACCAGGTACATGTCTTCAAAAGCCTAAAATGCTGGATTAGAGGTGGGATAAGAATTTCTAACACATTTTTCCCCACTCGAATCCGCATGCTGTTTTTTTGCAATCGGACTACTTTGTCTACTCGGCAGGGACACCTCTCGTGACCTTTTTTTATTCGAATATGATGTGAGACAACTAAGAATCTTTAGCACATTTTACCCTCACTTGAATTGGCAATGTTCTTATTGCTGCCGAGACCACTTAGCATATCCAATACCAATACAAACATTTTCGAATAGTCCTTAAATATGACACATGATCAAGGACTAACTCTAACATTAATATAATTGTAAGAATTGACCTGTAAACTTAAATTATTAGACAAAACTACATACTGACTCATATAAATTCACAAGAACCTCTAAAATAATCCAATTTACTTTTCTTTTTAAGAATTAAAAGTAGGTTAAAAAATAAAAATAAAAACGAAAAAAGCCAGCTTTAAAAAGCCTTTCTCTGCACTCCAAGTCTCAATTCTCACCCCACTTTGGTTTTCTCTCTCAGTCATCCCATTCTTTCTCTCTCATGATTCTCATCTTTGCCAATCATAAAAGCAATCAATTACAAAATGATTCACTCCCTCCTCTCTCACATCTATCTATCTTCTCTGTCCAGCCAAAAGAGTTCTGTATCCTTCTGCCCTAGCATTTATTACTCACTCTTCGAGGAATGGGTCTTCTAGGGTTAGACACCCCCCAAATGCCTAAAACCTAATAACTAGCTCTCTCTCTCTCTCTCTCTCACTCTCTCTCACACACACACACGTCAACTTCAAATAGGGTACAACTTTGTTCCAAGTGTCAACGTGTATCAAAATAATGTGCCTTACTTCTTTACCATTTGTTTGATTTGATTACTACTCCGTATATTATTTTACCCAGAAGGGAAGGCTACATCCTCTACCACTTTGTGCACATTCAGACTACTCCACCTATACAATAGGCTGTGCATCTATGGGAAAAGAATCATTTCAACGTGGAATATATATATATACACACACATATAATATATTTGTAAGGCTTTTTATACTCTTGCATATGTTCAAAAACTCGCTTAAAAAATAGAATTGTGTAAATTGATATAAATTCATGAATGAGTTAAAATTCTCTTGCATAGAATTGTGAAAATAGAATTGTGCAAGTTAAAATTGTTTTGAACATGATTTCAAATAGAATCTGGACAATTTTTGTTATTAATTAAATGAGCTAATTTGAACTTTTCAAAATAATACCGAGCCCTAATCATTCTTTTTGAACATTTCACGTTCTTAAACTGAGTCTGAACTAAGCTCAAAACAAATAAAATTAAGCCCAAACA